ATTTAAAATTTTACTCGACCACTATATTACGGAAGACGTGTAAAAAATGGTCACTAAGTACCTCAAGTCCCACGAGTAGTGAATTATATATAGTTCTACTCTATTGCATAGTTCAAAAACCAATAGAACTTTAATGAAGAAACTAAATTCATGATAATATGCATGAAATAAATTCTTATCCAACATTCGTTGTACATCTAATAGCATCTATATGTGAGTCTTTTCATATCAATCATAGACATGAAGTTTCAAAATACAAACTTATATATCTAAGGAAAATAACAAGTCTTTCTATGAACAACACTTATGAAAAAAAAGCCAATTTCATAGTTGTACTTAACCTAACATGAGGAACTCTATTGATAAGTCTTAAGAACCTGGATAACTCAACCTAGGATAGTTTTTGATCATTTTTATATTAGTCATCATCAATCTTGAGACACAAATTATGCTCACTAAACGAAAATATGCATTTCATACAATATCGGTTCCGTCACCCAAGATTATGTTGGGCTTTCTATCCTTCCGGATAATGACAAATCCACATCAAAGGCAAATATTACCTAGAAAGATGCCAAAGGACGCAAAGCACTAGAAAAAAGATAAGTAAATCCTAACCTTTTAACTAGTTGATGATCTTTTTACTCTAAAACTCATATGACATCATATATATTCTCCCACTAAGAAAGAATGCTATTAAACTACATATCTTTCTATATGCTAACTTAATCATCAAAAGACTCTCTAGATACTGAAGGAGAACTTATTTTATAGATACTTATCATCAATTAATTACACAACGAACTATGTCAATCGCACGATAAACCTAGATTAAAAATTATTAAACAATGAATATTAATCGTGTATCACAAAACTCTCATAATATATTATGATAAAAAAATTCTTATAAAATATATTTTTAAAAATGGTTTGATAAATCAAACAAATAAATTTTATACCTATTGTCGCTACTCGATGTCGGACGGGACTCCTCGAAAATATCTAAAATTAGACTCGAATATTTACAAGTTCATTTACAGAGTTTTGGAGTCGCCACCTAGTATTTAAGGAACTAGGAACCTAAAAGTAGCACCGATTCGGAGATTCTAAGGTAAGGAGTTGGTTACGCTTTTAGGAAGATATTTAATCACCTAAAAGTGTCATTTTCGAAAAAAGGTACCATCTATGGTTTAGTTCTAAATTCATCTCCTAAAAATCCATGTCAAGCTATTTTCTAATTTTTAAACTCCTATTTTTTAGACTAAATGAATTTTTTTAGTTTTGTGCGTGACATCATATTGAAACGATCGTCGGTCCCCTTCGTCGGGTGATACGTCGATTCAAACATCGGATCCACTAAAAGCCTTGACACAACCGACGTGTCGGAGGACATCCTAATTAAAAGGTGAGTTTTTGATAACGTCGGCTCCTATCAAATAGGAGACTTCGTCGAAAATTTTAAACTTGATGACGTCGATCCCTATTAGATAGGAGACTTCGTCGAATTTATTTATTTATTATTATTTTTTGATGACGTTAGTCATTACCATGTAGGAGGCTTCGCCAAAATTTTAGGCATTTTTTTTTTTGACGTAAGTCCCTATCGGATAGGAAACTTTATCAAGATTTTTATTTTTATTTTTCTAGCAATACATATTAAAGAAAAGAAAAAAAAATTGAAATAGCAATTCTAAATTAATATAAGAAAAATGAAAAGGAATAAAAATAAACGAAGCTAAAAAATAAATGAATAATAAAAGAAAAAGATAAAAATAAAAAAATTATCCTATACCTAAACCATTAACCCACAACTTTTACTTCTTCTTCTTTTTTTTACCCATCCCCATTTTTTCCTTCTTATTTTTTTATTACCCTTTTTCTTTTCTCTTTTTTTTTTTTTTTAGTGAGGGACACGAGTCGGGCTGAATTCCAGCCCGACCTCCCTTTTATTTTGGTGTAAAGGGCATAGGCTGGATCGAAACCAATCCAACCCACACGTTTTTTTTTTTTTGAGAGGAGCCGTGGTCGGATCGAAAACACTCCGGCCCCTTTTGTTCTTTTTTCTTATTTTCTCGGGTCGGGCCGGACCTTAAGCTCGAAAATAAGGTCCAATTATTTTGCTTTTTTATTTTTTAGATCAAAATTGAAATTTTCAAGCCTTTAAACCTCTCTCTCTCGTTCTACTCAAACTTCTTGTTCTCTTTCTATTTTCTCAAATTTTTTTTCGGGAATTAAAGATTTGTTCAAGACAAGTAACATACTTTGTTCATGTTCTTATCCAAATAGAACACTAAATCCGAAGCTTAAGCGAATAGTTAGCAATTGTTTGTGACGAAATTTAATAGAAGCAAAATCGAAAAATGAAGAAAGAAGAAAAAAATGATTACCGACTCGGTGAGCTTAAATGGATGATTATCGTTCGAAAAAAACTTTCCTTAGGTTGTTATTTTGGAAACAAAAAAAACTCAAAGAGTTGTTGATGGATTTTGGAAACTCGATTGAGTTCAAAATCGAAAGAGTAAGGTTCAACCGTGATGAACTTCAACACGCAAAACTCGGAATGCTAAGAACATTCCAATGCTACCCAAAAAATCGGTGGGGAAAAAACCAAAAATGCTAATTGAACTTCTAACCCGCAGATCGAAGTTAAATAATTGATGGTAGTTGAAGTCGAACTCCGGGAAGATCAAACAATAGACCCGAGAAACAAAATTGAAAACCCCAATAATGATGAACACTAAGAACATGAAGAACACTCAACCCGAAACCCGGAAAACCAAGTCGTTAAAAGATCAAAGATTTAGTTTTTTTTTTTTTTTTCAAATTTCCACCTTTTTCAACCCGAATTCCTCTCTAAAAATCCCCCTCCTTTCTTTTATGAAATTCCTAACGTTTTATAGCACCAAATTCCCTAAAATTTCTCCGAGATTTGAATCTCAAATTCTGAAATTTTACGGCAAAATTTTTCCTCTTTAATTCATGATTAATGTGAAATCAAAATAGGAAATTTTCATTATTTTCCGTTGGTGTTGGTTTTGGCAACAAAATTCACGATTAATACACAATCAAAAACAAGAAATTCATGGAGGATTTAGGTAGATTCTCTTAAAGATTTTCGGAGAGAATTTGCCTTGGAGTGGACGATAGGTCATCTTATCCATTTTGGTCTCGTCATTCGCTCCAAACTTCCCGTTTGGTCCTTGCGTTTCAATTTCCACAATTACGCCCTCTCGTGAAATAATTTTAGCTCAATCTTATCAATTAGGTCCCCGAGAGGTGCAATTTAAGGCCTAAAGTTTTTTAGTTGACTCGATTGCACCACTAATTACTTCAATTGTGTCCCTAAATGATTTTTTTTGTATTTTTCATCATTTTTTTTCTTTTTCCTTCTTTTTTTAGTAAACTTCAAATAAAAAAACAAAAAAAAATAAAATAATAAAAATAATAAATGATTTAAAAAAAAGAAAATTTTGGGTTATTACACCTATACGTCAAAGTATACTTAACCACTCGTAAAGTGTAAATATATGTATTCAATTTGCTTCTCAACAAGGCATAAATTACAATATAAGCTTAAATTCAATTGATTTTTCTTTAGAACAAACTAGTTTGTTGCCCGCTTTATGTGGCGGGTGGAGCAAAATCAAATTATTTTAACTTAATACCCCATGTTATGTTGTGGATCTTCTAATATATATACATTCAAAGGTTTAAAAAACAAAGCTAATAACTTTTTAATCTTGTATTTAATTGATTATATCTTACATTTTTCATAAATTTTACATTGAAAAAAATGAATTGTGTATTTTTATATGCATTAATTCTTAAATAAAAACTCGCAACAATCTAAATAGAAAATTGAATCTAAAATTTTTAAAAGAACCTAAATATTTTTTTTCCATAAGGTTGTATAAAAAAAAATAAAGGTACAATTAAGAGAAAAACTTGTCTAAAAATTAACAAGTAAATTTTTTTTTTATTATTTAGAGTTGATGGGAAGATTAGTTTTTCAAAGCATGTATTTTTGATTTATATATATGTATATTCAATCATAAAATAATCAATAATATAGCGATTATTTTATTTGAAAAAGTAATTTTAAAATATGTAAATGAAAAATAAATAAATTTTGTAATCCTTAAATTATATATATATGTGTGTGTGTGTGGTAGAAGTTCTATTCAAAACATCCAACATATAAATTGTATTAAAATATTTTTAAGAAATCACATTCTAAACTTTTAGTCAAAATTTCATATATAGAGAAAACAAATCATATTTTTTTTAACAAATAAAATTATATAAAAATTAAATTAAAAAATTAATTGAATGTTTATATAAAAAATAACAAATTAAAGAAATTATTTTAATTTTTTAAAAAATAAGAAATTTTAAATCAAAGAAATCATATTTTTTTTCATCTTGAGTTTTTATGGAAAAAAAATTGTTTTTTTCATAAATTTTGCAAAAATCAATAATAAAAAAAAAATTACTAGAAAAAAACAAAATAATGAAAGAAAGAAAGAAAAGGTAGGGCTGCCCCTGAGGCCTGTAGATGCAGGCTTGGGTCTCTGGGCCTGCAGAAGCAGACCATTTGGCCGCATGGCAAAAAAAAAAAAATCAGTGGATGATGCGTCGTCTGCTTCAGCACAGAAGACGATCGTCGTACAGTGTTACAATAAATAAACAGTATTTTCCTTAATTTAATTTGCTGTAAAATCATAAACTCTTACTGAGTCGAGGAAAAAAATAAAAAATTTCTTACCGAAGTGGAAAATAAAAGCATAAATTTGCTAATAACAAATTGAATCTTTTTATGGTTGGAGCAAAGCTAACAAAGCTACCGAGTCCCACTCAAGCGAGTCAAAGTTAAAGCAGAGTCAAAATTTCGAGTCACAGTACACTGTAAGTGAATATCGAGTGTTGACAGATAGTTCCTCAAAACCCACAAAGATTTGCACACAACAGAACCAGACAAACAGCAGAACAGAAGCCAACCAATGGAGGACACAGCAACTCTCAGTGTAACCAAACCAATCCGTTGCATTGTTAAACTTGGTCTGTTTATCTCTCTTCCCTTCCAATATTTCTGCTTTCATGTCTGGCAAATCACTATTTAGTTTTGATTGATTGCTATTGGTGAAAAATCACTAGCTTTTCAGCTTTTAGTGTTGCTTGCTTTCATGAGGATATATTGGATCTCGTTTTGAAACTGGGCTTTGATTTTCTTTTTCTTTTTCTTTTTCAGTATGCAACTGATGAGGTTTATAAATTGTATCCAAGTATCTCATAAAGTCAATACTGTTATGCTTAATACATATCTGTGACAAGAAAAAGGAAGGAATGAAGAAAAAGATTCGATTTTATGTATGATTCTTTACAGCTTGTTGATCATGTGACAGTTTTTTGTTACAGGAGGTGCAGCAATTACTTGCAAGAATGAGTTAGAGAAGATAAATGAAGAAAATGTTGAGATTGTTTCCTCACAGCTAAGGGAAGCTATGATTACTGGGTCTAGCTCCCGAAAGGTTCCTGGGATGGATTGGAGCAAGAGACCTGGAAAATCTGGAATTTCTTGTGATGCTGATGATTTTGAGGATCAAACCTTGGATTCTAGCAGTTTTATTGTTGTTCATGGAGCAGGTTATTTGCATAGCTATTTCTTGGATCAACATTAAGGACATTGAGCACGAGGGCAGATTGCTTGTTCGGCTATGCATTTGCTTGAATTGACAGTGAAAATTTGTGGACTGCATGACCTTAGATTTATTTTTGGTTTCTTTTCTTTGTTAGAAAGGAGAGACTGAGTGATCGACCCCTTTTAGATTTGTAGGAGTTGGTCTTTGAAGTGATCTCTACACTACTCTTTCGGTGAAGATAAGGAATGCTAATTTATTGTTTTGGCCTTCAGGTTCTTTTGGGCACTTTCAGGCAAGCAAATCAGGGGTTCATAAAGGTGGATTGAACCAAACACTTGTGAAGGCTGGTTTTGTTGCCACACGCATTTCCGTAAGATGACTCTAATTTTCTGCCTTTTTCCCCTGATCTTCTGTCAAATCAGGGATATCAAACCTTTTATACACACCCATAGTTCTGGGTAGCTGGATGCACAAATAGCATGTAAGAATTAGAATAGAATGGATAACAAGTAGGGAATTGAATAGAATTAACAGTAGAAAATGCTTGATATGCTTATCAAACTTTGGTATATCTGTTATTAATGAACCCTTCCCAACTTCTGTACTTCGTGCAGTAAGTTAATATGAAAATCAAAGGAAGTTGCCACTCATTTCTTAAATACTTTCGGGGACAGCCATAGCCTCAGAACATAAGTGGTTTTCCTTTACCTTGTATGCTCTAAATTAGGCTTTAACTGTGTATCTGATGAGGCCACCAACTATGCTTTCCGTCTCCAGATCTTCTATAAAAACATTCTGTTCCTTCCATCATTTGTTGGATGCAGGATATTCTTTCATATAAATGAAATTTTTATGTTATTTGTGCAACAGAATTTTCTCTAAAATTGTGTTATAGGCCGTTGATGAAACAAGAATCTTCGCCTGCGCCTATATTTATCAGTTTCGTGGTTATTTTTGTTATTTCAGGTTACGACTCTTAATCTTGAAATTGTTCGAGCGCTAGCCAGAGGTAATGATCTAGGAATTAAAAAGGCGCAACTATATATATATATATAAAGAAGAAGAATTAAAGGGCAACTGCTATGGAAGTAATATGTTAGCTGCAGCTGTATAAGTTTTGAACCTTCCTCAATGGAAGAAGTGCAAAAAATGCTAGACATTTGTTTCACATCGTATTGTTTGTAACTACTATTAATCTGAATTTCCAGAACCTGGTGTTTATGTGTTGTAAATTTTAAGTGGTGGTCCTTGAAAGTACGCAGCTTCTGTAGAATACTTCTAATCACTAAAACTGTCATATGACCACAAAGATTTCAATTTCCAGAATGAAGATAGATATATTAACTATTACTTGCTTAGAGCTGGAGAATTTTATCATTTCTTTAACTCGGTTTTCATTTTCCCTTAGATGCCCTTTTGCTCTAACATCTTTTTAACATTGACAATGGTACTTCCTCTAGCAAAATTGGATATGACATCATTACTCTTGAAACTTGTCTCTGAAAATTCTTGCTATTTTCTCATAAACAGCCATTTCTGCAGCCTGTTTCTGGGAGTAGAGCACATCCTCTAACAAAGTTTTGTTTTTCTCTTGCAGAGGGCATTCCTTCTGTTGGAATGTCTCCTTTTTCATGTGGATGGACAACCTCTGAGAGAAATGTTAGAGGCATTGAGAAAAGAGTGTATTTTTTTACTAATATGACTCAAATATGGGACTTTCCTTGATTATCTTCATTATTGATGATGAAGAAATGCAGTATGATCCCTTCTAATTCTGGTCTCTAATTGGTTTCCACAGATGGCATTGGCTGATTTATCAATGGTAGCTCAGGCAATTGACTCTGGATTCATACCTGTAAGATAGAATTCTTCATTTCTACATGTATTTTGTAACTTGAAAATCTTTTAAATCTTTGTTCTCTATAAACTTTCCTCTTTAAAGGGCAAGGATAGTATGTTTGATTATACGCCTCAATCCCAAACTAGTTGAGGTCAAAATGAATGAAACATACCATTTCTCATCTCTTCTTTTTCTGTTCTGCTTGTCAAATGAAACTGATCCTATATGTCATCGGTAAAATTGCAGTCAAACAAAATTACTTAGAATGCAGTACCCAGATATGTGGAAGTACCTGGAGATCTGGCTTGTCAATGAGTGACAAACATATCATATAAACTTGTTAGCTTTGCAATTGGATGGAAATGACTAACAAAGATTCTGAAATATCAGAAACAGGAATTATTAGTTATCTGGTCATGATGTTTCTGCAAACAATTGGATTCTTGAGTCTAAGAGCCTATCGACACTCACGGGATTATATATAACAACCAACAATAAATAATACCTCAATCATTAGGTTCTGGAGAAGCTGTAAACTTGATAAGTTGCTAAAAAACCTCAATTTATAGAATTTTGCTGCCACAATTTCATAATTGCTCAATCATTATTTAATTTTTTGAAACTACAAATGAAAGGAGACACCATTATACTTTGAAGTCCTTATCTCAACTCATCAAAGCATCAATGGCACTTGTGCTGGGATTTTAGAGGCTTTATGGTCTTGTTATATTATACAAATTTGAATAAATGGCAGAGGGAAATGTAAGTTGCAAAGCAGCAAAAAAATGGATAGTGAGAGTTATGGAGGTGACAAATCGTATATTACCCCTCTAACATCGCATGTCAGCTTTATTCATCTATGTGCCATTGCCCATTGGAGGTGATGGTGTTTTTTTCACTTTGTTAGTTGGACAAACCAATAGGACATATTTCTGGTGCGAACCCATTGTGTCTTACTAATGCCTGAAGGAGAAGTGACCTTTTTCTTTCTCTTCATATTCTTAGTTGGCTGGATTTTTCAACATGCTGTACTATAATAGATCTGTTTTTGCTTATAGGTCTTACATGGAGATGCTGTACTTGATGATTTGCAGGTTTGGTCTCTCCATGGGTGGATATACACTTGATTTTTAAATTGAATCTGACATTCTTCTTCCTTACTTATTTAATCAGGGATGCACCATATTGAGTGGTGATGTTATTATACGTCATCTTGCAGCCTACTTGAAGCCTGAATATGTTGTTTTCCTGGTATCCTTTTCCTTTGAAACGAGAGCTTTGTGGTTCATTTTTAGATCATCTGATGTTTCTCTCTGCACAACCAGAATAAGATAGCTCAAAGATGGGGTCTGCTTTATTAGCTCTGCTGCTAGCTCTGGTTCATGTCTCCATATAAATTGCACAAATGACGAGTTTTGAAGTAGGCTCAAATTATTGTCAATTTGATGTTGCATTTACAATAAAGTTGATTAATTGCTCTCTGAAATTGACTAGCTTGGATGACCTCCTTTCTTTTTGGTAGCGAGTCCAGTAACACTGACATTAACCTGCATTTTTATAACCGCAAATGCAATTCTCTTCTTGTTATCCAATTAATTTGGATTAAAGACAGATGTTTTGGGTGTCTACGATCGTCCACCTTCAGAACCTAATGCAGTGCTCTTGAGGGAGATCGGTGAGCTCTCATAAGAAACTCTTATCTTGTCAATGGATGATAGTCTCCAAAATTAGCTTGATATGTCACATCGAAAGGGCATAACCAATTTCTAAAACACACAGCTGTGAGTGGAGATGGGAGCTGGTCTGTTGTGAAACCAACACTTGAGGACATGAATAAGCAAGGTTTGTGTGGTTACTTCAGCTTTTGATGTTGCAAATTGCTATCTATGAGTTGGACACACTAATATTGATTTGCATGATGAGTTCATAGCACTTGAAGTACCTATATGCGCATGCACGAAAATCCTTTTATCCATGAATAATCTCTGATTACAAAAATCGACCTTAAAGCCTTTACTTTCATCTGCAAGATGGCATTTCTCTAAAGATGAACCTTTCCTTTTCGTAGGAGACTACTTTTGCAATAGAAATTGGATAAACCATTTGGCATTGCCTACTTTTGCAATAGAAATTGGATAAACCATTTGGCATTGCCGTGGATAGTGTTTACACCAGTGACCAGTGGTATATATAATTAATGTTAAGAGATTGAAATCTAGGACATGTGCTTAGTGGTTTTTCCTGCTTCTTGATGCAAGTGGAAAACATGATCGTTATTCACCTTGATTTGAATGCTTCGCAAAGTGATACTCCAAAAGGGGATTATGTGTCCTACTCCGAGACCATCATATGTTTTTCCTTCCTTGCCTGCAGTTGAAATAACCGTAGCAGCCCACGATACAACTGGTGGAATGTTGACCAAGATATCAGAAGCTGCTATGATTGCAAAACTTGGAATCGACGTCTACATTGTGAAGGTGATAGCTTTCAGCCTGATCTTTGCTTTATTATATGTTGCCCTTGCATTTAATTTCTGTTTCTCCGTTTATATAAATTCTGTTTTGATTGATTAAACACAGGCAGCAACAACCCATTCTTCAAGGGCTTTAAGTGGAGAAGTGAAAGGCGCTATTCCTGAGGATTGGCTGGGGACCGTCATTCGGTTTGTTGGCAAAGCAAATAGTACTTGCTGAATGTTGGAGATTTTCAGGGGCACAAAAGCTTGAACGAAAGGACCTAGGCCCCCCTGTGTCAGCAAAATGTTGGGAGGATAGTCCAATTTTAAGACCACCCTGAACGGTATTCCTTGAAAATTATAGGGTCATTTTCTTGAAGAACTTGCACTGATCATATCACGTCAAGGATGACCAACCAGGCAACCACAGATACTTGATTGTTGGATCCTCTACAAGAATTCATCCATATCTTTCAAGAAATTAATTTAAGCAATTTGTTTGCTACTCCTGACAGCAATATTTGAATCAAAATGCAGTCATGAGAAACATGCTACTTTTGACGTCAGAAATTAGCCTTCTGTTTTGCTCTGTTTTTGTAACACTAAACTAGGATCCAACCAGGCGGGAATCGGGAATCCTTTCTCAATTAAAGGAGACTTGGATGGAGGAATTGTTACTTTCTCAATGAAAGTGGGCTTGTATCGAGGAAGAAAACAGCGTAACCTGGACTGAGCAGAACAGACTTGGTTTGGAATGAACCAAAAAAGCAACAGGAACTTAGCAATGGATTGTGTAACAGCCTGATTCCCTTAAAAACCAAGATTTCGAGACCAATATCTTTCATCAGCTACTCGATACTACGTACCCAGGCCTCAACCAACACGGGAAAAAAAAATATTGCTAAACAAAGAAAAACGATATTATAACGGAGCCATCGAAGGGCAAACTTCATGCATGCATCCCCAGAAAGTTAAGGAAAAGAACTGGATCTATAGGAAATAAAAACTGTAAATTGTTTGAAACAACCAAAGGTGCCAAGAAGTGTATACAGTCTTGCTGGCAGAATAAACTTCTCCACACCAAGAACCACAAAAATATCATTACAAATAAAAGGCCACTTAAATAATGGCAAGTCTTCATATAAGGGAAGGCCGCATCTAGTACAGAATGTTCCTGAAACGGGCCCAGTTCTCAAACCAACATGAAACCCCTTGCTAAACTACAACTATCAGCAGCCTACCTTCGACATGCCCTGCATTAAGCAAGGAACAATTTACTTGGGGCCGATGTCCTTGAGGGCGCAGATCTGCTCCTCTCCCATGGAAGACATCACAGTCACAACAAGATCTTTCCCCTCACCAAATCCATCCTTAATCTACATAGCAAAGAAAAATCAAAACTAACTAGATTCTGTATGACAGAGTTTCACAGATTATCCAAATTAGCTTCATTTGAAACCGACATACTTAATAAGGATAGGAAAAAAAAGTACAAAAATTGAGGTGCAAAAGCAGAATTATATGTGCACAGTAAGATTCATATGGCCACCACAAGACTTTTGCCGCATACCAAAAATCCAAACCAATTTCAAGGCACAAATATGCATGCAGATTGAGCAATCACAAAAGAAATCATTTAAAGGACAGTTAGAATCCTGAAAGGCAGCACAACCTTATCGCCTACTTGAATTCACTAGGGAGAAACAAAACATCCACTAACCTGAGAGAGGAGATTATCATCAGTTGGGAGCCTCAGGTCATCCTTAGTATTGCCATTCTCAGTCAGCAAGCTCACCTGAAATTTTATATGCAGATTAGACCAAATTCAAATAACCAACGGAAAAAAAATCAAACATGTAAAGAGACTTAAAGGAACATACAAATCCATCCTCAGAGATATCAATCAGCTGGTAGTCAGTACGAGTGACATGGGGAACCTGCAGTGCAATCGAAAGAGAAGTTTACATCATGTGAAAAGGCTACAGTACTGATACTCGTTGAAAAATCATGTAAAACAAATTGGATAAAAAAATTGCATACATCACAATTGTGGGAAGAAGGAACAATATCTTCAAGCTTTTTGCCATTAAAGATATCAATTGCAACAAAGTGACACTTAGCATGACCGTGCTTGCCAGTTTTAGAGGTTGAAACCTCCACAACCTGTGAAAGAAAATTAAAAGCATCTCATTGTTGAGAATTGTCATACAAAACAAACCCAAAAAAAAAAGAACAGAAAATGGACAAAAGCATCTCTGAAGGGCCAATAGGAAGGTCAAAATGGGTTAGCAAAGTCTGACAAAACTATATGAATTACACATAAAACGCTCCTATAACAAACCGCCACTTCAATTTCAGAATAAATAACAAGAAACACAACTGGTTACATGGCAAAATAACCAAACATAGCAGACAACATAACTTCTACAAGCAGATTTTCCCTTGCTATCCTAAAATTTTAGGTTTCCCAAATAAGTTATTCGATCCAACACAAATTATTTTTCCAGAATTAAAAAAAAATGACAATAGCTATGTCATTTGTGTTAGTTTTACGATTTTTTTGTTACAAAATTTACCATTAGAAAAAGCAAACAGCAATAGGTTTCTTGCTCCGCATGTTATTATTACACTAACAAACTTTAATATTTCTTAATAGTTTATTATCAGATCTAATTGATTATTTATTTCGCCTTTCGCCGCTAAAGTTCAGACAGCAGCTAACACACAGAACATAACTGTTGGCAAACTGCAAAGCCTAACAAAAACTATCGAAAATAATACAAATCAAATCAACACGAGAAAAATAAATAAACCATTCCAATCCAACATTCATATAAAAGGCTTGCATAAATCTGAATCAAAATAAATCAAAACAAAAGAATACATACAGATCCAAAACAGAAGAGTCTAAGAATTGAGATAGCTAAGGAAAGTAGACCTTGCAAGGACGATTCTTGATGACGATGTAACCGTTCTTGCGAATGGTACCAGCTTGTTGGGGGAAAGTTTTCGAAGCTCCAGCATCGGCCTTTGACTCGAAGTGATGCTCCTCGTCAGACATGTCGGCGACTAATCGAAAGAGCTCGAAAACACAAGAATCAAAACAGAGAGAAGAAGAGGGAGAGTGTAAAGAGGAGAGTGCCTAATTCATCAATTTCCACTATAAATAGGGGGTGCGTTATTTAGAAGGGAAGAGGGTCTTTAGGGTTTCTAAAGTTGTTTTTTTTTGGTAATATCGGCTATTTTGGGCGACTTTGCACCGTTGGATTTCAGAGATGGACGGTTAATTATAGGATAAAATATCTTTTGGGCCTGTGCGTTATTTGTACGCTGTCCGCTGCACGTGGGCTGCTCGTGCTAATCCAGTTTGGGGTGTGTCAACGTGCTTCTATTTGTTCTTGATTAAACGTACATGCACCATTATATACTGCCACATGTCTCTATTAGTACTAACACAAGCAGCTTTCTTTTTTTTTTTTTCCCCGAAAATTGTATTTGCCACAGAAAGAGTAAATTATAAATTATTCCTTCCAGTTTTAAAAAACAAATCCATATCCATTCTCCTGTTTTAAAAACTATTTATTTACTTCTTCTTTTTATCTATTTTATATTCTTTTTCAGTTTTTTTTGCTTTAAAAAATAGAAAAAGAATAAAGAATAAATATATATTATGAAAAAAATTGATAAGTAGAAAAGATATTTTTTAAAATAAAATAATATTAAATTAAATGTAATCAATGCTAATAAAACAAAAAAAATAATTAGTTTTTAAAATAAAAATAATAATTTATTTATTTTTCAAAACTAAAGAGACTAATTTATAATTTACTTGCCACAAAACCACAAAATTTAAAAGGAATTTATTTTTCATATTATTATAACGGGATCTGATTTAAGAAGAATCTTTCCAGATACAACTAACAGCCATCTCGTTTCCCTTATATTCAATACTCTGGCAACACTCTTCACCTCGCTCAAAACAAATCCTTGAACAGAAAAAAGATAAGTGAAGAATAAAAAAGGGTCAACAAATTAGTGCTCGGACGTATCCACAATTCTGCTGCATGACCAAAAGACCTCGAATTAAAGCTGAGCAATAGAACTATTGGATCGAGCGTAATAGTTCAATTAGAAAACATCTACTTTTTTCTAAACTTGAGCCTCAACCCTTTTCTTTTTAGACCGCCGAAAAAAAGGAAAAACATCACTCTTCTCTCCGTCACACAGATCATCAGTTCTAGATAGTTACAAGCTTACAAGCAATTACACCATGATTCGCTTGGATTTCTCTGCAACCAGGCCTTCAATAAAGAAGCCATGAAGGAAATAGAGTCGTCACACTTGCTCAAGAAAGTTATGCAAAATGAGGGGACATAAATGTATGGATGCCCCAGCAGAACAATCTGAAATGCAGAAAAAAAGAAGGGATAAGGTAAATAACCACAGCCAGCAACCGTAAATCAAATGATTTTTCACTTCTACCCACATTTTGCAGGTTTGGATAATAAGCTCAAGAAAACGAAGGTCCACAGTAATTAGCAAAAAACAAAGGGAACTGAATTCATTTATTAATAGGCGGGCAGCAACTTGCCAACTAGTATCATTGTTATAAGCAACAAAGTAAAATTGCAGTAGATTTATCTTCTAAATTGGATTATTACCTTCTTTACAAGCATTCGAATGTTCATTTCCTGCTTGAAACTTCAGGAGAATAGCCAATGTAGCTGTCATCCATGTTCTGAATAAATATTTGAGGAGCAACCTCCCTGTCATGGAGAAATATGCATGGTCAAGCGATTTGATTGGTAACACCATGCCATAATCAAATAAAGGAACACTGGGGTTGTTGTCACGTCTCCTTGGACCATTTAATGCAGAAAAAGTGAAGTAGATTTGAGAAGCAAAGACAAAAATATTCATTCCAAAAGAGTAATGAAAAGTTCAAATTGAAGAGTATGGAGAAAAACACCAGCCGTAGAGTAAAAGGACAAAATTAATCAAAAAGCCAGATTAAAAAGTGGAGATTGTAAATTAATCTCTATATAAACAAAAGTGAATGGATGGATCACAACGTTTCGGAAAACCAAATGACGATAACGAAAACAAAGTAACACAAGCATATAGAATGTAGATAAAAAAGATACATGATAGCACTTTCGAGTGTTAATATTTAAGAACAGTAAGCTAGAGCAAAATCACAAGGCAGTTGGCAGCAGGAGGGGCATACATTTCATTAGCTTCTTGGTATGTGTAGCTTGATGCAACAGCCAATAGTTGCCCCACATGGTTGTACGATAAGGATGCCACACTGTTTGGATATCTAGGAAACTAAAAACAACAGAAGGAAGAAACAACTTCTAAAATAAGTTTGATTACAACAGAAGGAAAAACCCACTTTTAAAACAAGTTTGATTGAAAAAGAAATCATTGCGCAACTGTTATAATCAGATCAGATGGACTATACCTCATGTAATTTTCTTTTACTTTGAGCATCCCATGCAGTAACGTGGCCTTCATTATCACCAGTAACAAACGTACCACCGACGCTAAATCAAAAACACCCATCAATTTTAGTTTCGGAGAGTACATGAAGGCTAACAATTGACTTGACTGTACTTACAGTGGATTGAATGCTATGTCATTAACTGACACTAGATGTGCTTTTCCATTTTTTGTCTTTGGGTGACACCGAAAAGTGTATCTGCAGTTGAGTTTGAAATGCACAAGGGATTGCAAAATTATTAGCAAACTGTCCACATCAACATCTCAAATATGCACATGCTCAGAGAATATAGAAAAGAACACAACAAACGCTCCAGCTCAAATATTTTATTTTGCAGTATGAAATAACTTATAACACAACGATCAAATTGAAATATTCATGGCACTAAGAGCAAGATGGCAAGTTTAAGAGCAAATTATGGAACTTGCAGTTGATATCATCATTAATAGGGGAAAAGATATATTATTTACATTAAAACTGTATTCAATGTTGAAGCATTAATATCAGTAACTTAAATTCAAATTCCTGAGAGGAGTCAGTGATAACGTAGAAGTATATCTAGTCTAGTGCACATGCGTGTGCAGAATCAAAATAAAAATAAGGGGTAAATCTCTTTCCTCCAGTACAACCGTAAAATTTTTAGAACTAAATAACCAATAGGATGCAATTCCATTCTCCTAGTCAAGTTTTAGCTTAGCAATCCAGTTGGAAATATCCAATGATCATCTGGATGCCTCATGTATTATAGAACTGTGGTCACATGTGCAGAATTGTCCTTGACCTTAATCCTAAGATTGGATGGTAAAAATTTGGAATGGAATTAAGTTTCAGTGTTGGTAAAATTCTTCCGAAAGTAAAAGGCAAGTGCATCAACATTCTGAAGATTTACCCTATGCAAATCTTTAGCAGTGGGACCCACAAAAACACATTATACTTGCAGAAAACGAAGAAAACAAAAATTAACAATAATTAGAAATTCACTACAAATTTCAGATCTTCAACAAATGAAATGTACTTGAAGAAATATAAGCAAAACACTCACTTAGTGGAATTTAAATTTAATGGATTTGAGATCTCTACTGCTACCCGTCCATCTACTGATCCTATTGCATATCCTGCAAGAAAAAAAAATCTCATTTCAAGGGATTGAGAGGGAGGACTGAGGGGGGGGGGGGGGGGGGGGGGGGTTGGGGGGTGAGACGAAAAAAGAGGGAATATAATGCCCATTAAAATAGTTATATGATTAAAACCTTCGTACCATGCCAAAAAAACTACAAGCAACTACACACTGGATATATATGGTAGTAAAACAATTACAGTTTGGTTGATTCACTTTTAAGGAATCAGTGTGTTCTAAAAATAATGGTTTTCCCTTCAGATAAAGTTTTCTACCAGAAACTAAATGTTAAAAAATATAAAGCTCACACTATCAAAATACTAGTACCTCTGGCATATGGAACTGAAGCAACACATTTTATCCCTACATCCATAGATGATTCTTTTAAATCAACTGCTCTTTCAAAGTTCCGCAAGTCATATATATTCACTGCTGTTCCTACAGCTACCATTAAATCAAACCCAGAGACAGAGATGGACTCAATTTCTGCACCCAGATTTGTGAAAAGTGCAAGAGGATTTGCCAAGCGGATATCCCAAGACATTACCTTCTTGTCCAAACCAGCTGAAATTGCTTGGCCTGAAACAGCCAAATAGAAAGAAAAAAAAATCATCAGAAATTCCTACAGCAGTGGTGCAATAAGGAAATAGCAGATCCTTATGCAAATAGGTTGAAATGGACTCTTTGTACATCTTAGTGCCCATCTCTACAGCCAAACAATGTCACATTGCCAGTCATACAAATCATGAGCTCACAAATTATGATGCAATGACAGAAACCCTGACCTTTAAAAAGAAATCTTAAGGATGGAATGCGAGGCCTCTAGTTTCTATAAAGATCTCCAAGGAAAAAGAATATACATGCATAAGTTTTCCTACAATTAGAACAGTAGGGAAAGCTGTATTTATTGCCAAACATATCATGTGAGGATGAGTACACATCTATCCCGTTGTCTGCCAAAAAATTACGAAAAAAGAACGCAACATTTGTCAATTCAAAACTGGATTAATAAAAGCAGAAGTATAGTTGTACAGGTAGCTTACATGTTTCAATAGAGTATTCAACACATGTTGCTATATCTTGATGATTTCCGACGGCATCATTAGTTCCTGAATGCAAGTCATACCTAGAAAAATTTGCCCAAGAAAGAGTCAAGGAATAATGGATGAAAACCATAACGTACCACCTCAAACTACAAAAATAAGTAAAACTACAGTTAGAATTCAAAGATCTTCATCCCTAATAAAACCTTTGTAAGCAAAATAATCAAACAAATTAGCCCAAAATCGCTACACAAAAACGCCACCAATGTGCGAGAAAAGTTAAAAGAAACCATTCAGCACCCTAAGGTATCGAAATGCTAAAATTAAAGAAAGTTATGCTAAAATTAGCCCAAAATCGCTACACAAAAACGCCACCAATGTGCGACAAAAGTTAAAAGAAACCATTCAGCACCCTAAGGTACAGAAATGCTAAAATTAAAGAAAGTTAATGATCATAGTATTGGAAGCAATTATTCAATCAGAGTTCATAAATAATATAAATTGATTCGTATTAGAATGAAGAAGATAAGACGAACTGAAGCTGGGTTTTTGAGTTCCAGTTGTTTCAATAACAACGAACCTTATAATGGAACCATCAGAGGCAGCCGTAAAACCCACAGACTCGCTCTGGAAACAACAATCGAGAAGCGCAACTTGAGAGGGAGCAGGAGCTTCTAATCTAAGCACAGAACTATCCACATCGTATAATCGAAGATTCTACGCAATCAAATCAAATCAAATCAATGCAATATAAATGTCAAAAACCAAATTACTCTTCAAGGAAAATATAATAATAAATAAGCGAATACTGACAGAGTCCCAAGAAGAAATGAGGAGATTATTGGATTGAGGGGCGAACTGGATCCTAGAAACTGCATCTTCGATGGGGTTTTCGAAATTCAAGCACGCGCCGTTCATTTTGGTACGAAACTAACACACGGATAGGATAAAAGGTAGGTGTTTGAAAGTGAAAGAAACAAGAGGGAGGGAGAGGTATGAAGTTAATCCAAAAAGGAAAACCTAGTTTGGTTGTTTGGTTCTTGTGATGCGGTCATAACAAAAGAAAAAAGCAACTGTGATTTTAGTCCTAATTTTCCATAATCAAGGTAGCCAGAAGAAAGACTCAAGGAAACTGGACAAGAAGAAGGGTTCCCGCTCAGCGTACACAGTAAGTGGTGATCATTTGAGTTTTGATAATTACTGGTTTTTTTAAGCGGGATATGCTGCAGTTCATACATAATACGTAAAATTATTTTAAAAGAATTATTTCATATTGATATCTCATGCATCTATCCAGATACGTCGAAATAAAAATTTATTTAATTTTATAATTTTTAATCAAAATTTTTTATTTAACTAATTATTTTTCTATTTGCATAAACTTTTTATATATATATTAGCTAAAATCTTATTTTATAAATTATTTTATCTAAACATTTTTTTGTCTTAAAATTTTTGATAAAAAAAAACAGAGAAAAAAACAAAGAAAAAAATGATCAAAATGAAACAAAAAAAGATCAAAATAAAATAAAAAATTTTATGGACTGAAAAAATAATATTTTGAAAAAAAAGACTAAAATTTAATGTTACAAAAACATTCATAATAAATATTTTAAAATAATTTAAATAGTATAAAAAAATTACTGTATAGTAAAAAATCTAATACATTATGTAAATAGTATATATGAATCTAGATAAATAATATTTAAAACAGTGCCAACAAATAATAAACTAACGTCTTTGGTTAATTTTTTTTTAATTAATGTCATTTATGCTCGAAACTACCTTTCGTTTTTTAACTAGACCTGAAGCAAGTAACACAACCAAATTATTAACATTTTCTCTTTTCAAAGTTTCTTTTATTTCTTTTCCCTTTTTTTTATTTTTTGAGCAAATAAGAAATGAGACCGTTAGAATTATTATTATTATTATTACTACTACTTGTCAACAATTTAAAGCATGAGTGTGCATTTTAAAGGTTAAAAGGTTCATGATGTCACTCTAATATTTTATTTATTTTAATCATATCTTTTTATTAAATTTCGCATCTCTATATTCTTAATTCATGTCTCAATTTCATTCCTCCGTCTAATTTTTTAGGTATCGCTGACAATTTTTCATTTAAAACTGACATGATCCAAATGCGTAGCATTAAATTTTTCAAAGAAAAATCCTAAAATTCTCATCTTTTTCTCTACCTTTATGTATAGAAATAAATAATTTCACCCCTTAATTTTTTATTTTTTTTGCTTTCTCTCAAATTCAAATCAAAAAGAAATTTTTTATGAATAGGAAGGAATAGAAGCAATGTTTTTTTTTATTTCAAAAATTTACTATGAATTTTTTTTTTTTTGGGGTTTGGATTTGAAATAAATTTTCATAATAAAATTTTGAAATAAATAAAAAATTTGCTTATATTCCTTCCTATCCATAAAATTTTTTCTTTTTTTCGTTTGAATTTGAGAGAAAGCAAAAAAAAAAAAAATTTGTAGGGTGAAATTAATTAATTATTTCTATACCTAAAGGTAGAGAAAAAAGGAGAATTTTGAGATTTTTTTTATTTTTTTTTCAGATTTTTTACTTTTGAAAATTTTAATGCCATATGTCAACATGTCAATCTTAAGCTGAAAATTGTTGCCATTGCCTACAAATTTGGATGGAGAGACGAAATACAGACGCGAATTAAAAATAGAAGAACATGATTATTAAAAAATTTAATAGAGAAATACGATTATAAAAAGACATCCTGGATCTTTAACCTGCATTTTAAGTGGAGTCCTTCTTTCGGTTTCTTTTCAATTGCAGTTGGCTAAGTAATTCTTAAGATGTTTTTTTTTAACATTTTATAGATTTCTTTTCTTTTTATGTTCATTAAATTATAAATTGGTCTTTCAAATTTGCAAAATGAATTAAAAAGTCCATCTTATTTTAAAAATTAATTAATTAATCCATTGATTAGTATTAATCATGGTGAATTTCATATCATTTTATTTTTAAAAATATCTTCTTCTTTTTTGCATCATTTTTTTATTTTTCTATTTATTAAAAAACAAAATAAATTGAAAAGGAATGAAAAAAATTAATTATAAAATAAATTTAAAAATATAAAAAACTAATTAATTAGTTATTAAAACTAGAAGTACTATTGACTAGAGACATTAATTTATAATTTAAGCGAGCTCGAATCCGGGGGCCCTGTATGAAGGTAAGTACACAACTCACTGGAGGAGTCGATGTGTTGTCCTGTTCTGCTCTTGGAGTCTAAAATGTCAAACAAAATGATGACAACTACGGGGATTTGTTCGCTAATAAAGTGAGCATGTCTGGCAGTGGAATTTGGGCATACTTTAATCGACAAGCACTTCAACCAACTCCAATGTTTCCGATCCATCAATCTCCATTTTATGAACCTGAAGTGAAAGCTACCATCTCCCATGCCTTGAGGAATGAGGATCTGCGGAGATGGCAGCAATATATATCTTTCGGTATCTGGAATGTCCTGCGCAATCACTTTGGGACCCTGAGAGATGTCCCTGAATGTCAGATGAAGTATAACCATTTCAAATTAAACCAAACACAAAGATAGGCTTGAAATTCAACAAATTTATACATATCTCACAAACACATTAAAAAACATGATAAGATATATGAAAGAAAAACATAATAAAGGAGATACATGGTTTGTTTTGCCACAGTGTGTCTGGTTTGAAACCTGATTTATTGGCCAAGGACTAGAAGTTTAATCAATATCACAAACAATCATCAAATCATTTCCATTACTCAAATCACCAATTGACATGCCATAGACTGCCTTCTGATGATCAATCAAACATACAAGCACACACGCCCACACAAATCAGAAATGATTCTAAGATGCCAATTCACATGCTCTAGTGTCATTAAGGCAAACATCCAAATCAAAGAGAAAGCTCAAAAAGTGCAGTCACTCAGCAGTAGTTTCATATATACATAAGAGTGAGATTATCTTAATGGCTAAAGATCCAAATAATAAAAAGATAAAATTTTGATAGTGGCCAAACCCTCCTTTGTTTTCCTCTTAAGCTCAGAATCGTGTTCTTTCATCTGGGACGTAGAAATCAAACCGAACGTCAACAGAACCAGAAGTTTCTCCAGTATCTTTGTACTCAATGTTTGTTATTGATCCACTCTCTTCTTCTTCCTGATATCCTGGCTTCACACGCCGTACAGGCACTGTCACAGAGTACACAGTCCCAATCTCTGTATCAGTTGTGACGCTCAGCTGAACTTTATCCTGTGATTCTATCTCCACAAATTCTGATAGAGCATGTACAATGTTGTTCACAATTTTCCTTTTTGCTTCATCACTAACTGCACATCTGTCAGAGAAGAGAATCATCTTCAAACGCTGTTTGGCAATCCTTGCATTTGAGCTCTTTCTCTGTGTTGGAGAAGGGAATATTATCCTCCAAGCCAAGTTTAAACGCTCAAGGAAGCTCATGTTTATCGCACTTAAAAGCAAGCTTTCAGCTTCTTGGTTAACAGCAGCTGAGGAAAGTCGATAATCTTCAGCAATCCCAGCAGATCGTTTAAAGTGACCATGTACTTTATGTCTATCAAACACGCAACCAGGCCACTTGAGCATGTTCTGGGAAGTGCCGCATCCTCCATTAAGGAAACCAAGGAACTCTACCTATATATTATAGAACAATAGACCTAAATGCAGTGAGACATACAACAACACACATGCCAAAATCTGCCAGCCAAAAATTCTTCAATACTAAAAATACATCGATGTAAAAAACTAGAGCAAATGATTCTGTCAACTAAAGTAGATTCCACAGACAAATATCATAACAACTACTTGCAGAGCATTTGGTCGTCCTACATCCATGCTGCTTCATTTTACTGAAAGTGGCATGGTTTTTTATCCTATATATATTAACCAAGTCTTTGTTTTCTCCTAAATAAATGCAGAATTAGCCTATAGATCCTCAACTTTAAACAACCCAGTACTCCAAATTTAATTTTTCTCTGTTGTGTCTCAACCCTTCAAAATCAACCAATTAAGTCTTCCATCTGCCTGTTAACAAGGTGTTCGTGTGACCACCATCTGCTGACACACCTCCACATCAATCAAATGAAGTGCACCAAATACCACATAATCTAGTTGTATATATAGAGTGTGATTGAAAAACACAGAAAATCATGGTGATGGAAGCAAATTAGATTTTATCACTTGAAACCCATTTAATTTATTATAGCTTTTTCTATTTCTGAAAGTTTGTGATATTGGGCCACTCCCGTTGATGAAAATTATGCAGTTTCATATATGAGACCAGGAATAACGACCACAATATATCCACTTCTCTAAATTTGACTTTGAAAGCCTCTCAATTCTGCAGTCCAAGAATTATGTCGTGGAAAGATCAAAAGTTAACGCAACTCAACATTATCCACGGTATAGGACAAATCAAGTTTAAAACATGAAATGATCAACCTTAGAGTATGTAAAACTAAAGTCAGAATATGAAACCTGTATAAGAAGTCATGTTAACCATTTCACTTCACTGCAATCTGGTTTCAGAATACATCAATGTGCCTAATAAATTAGGCTAAGCAACTTTCTTGACCATCAATTTTGTCTAAACTTCTTTTCTCCTACTTTATCGTTAACCATTGCATAAAGATTTAACACATTCCAGATGCGATGTAGCTGAGCCATGCGACACATAATCTCACACGCACCGCCCTTTATAGGCCAAATACATACGACCCAGATCACCAAATGAAACAATAAAGGATACCCACAATTTCTCAGCCACCATAACCAATTTTTTTTATAAAAAAATACTTATATGCCCCCACTTTAGTAACAAAACAACCAGTCCTTCATAAAAAAGATTAACCCAAACCCCCAATTTCCCCATTTCATTCCCCAATGCATTTCTCAAATTCCCAAACCAGACAGATAAATTGACATGATATAGGAAGCATGATAGAAAACCCACGTCAAAGCAGAAGCAATTAGAGCTAAATTCCAAAGTAACGAGTTAAAGGAGTAGAGACCTTGGAATTTGAGGGAGGCAAAGAGCATCGAAGAGGGAGTTTAGAGTAAGAGGCCAGCGTTGCTGAGACACTCAGATCTCCCGATATCGCCATTTTCGATTTTGCAAGCTCTCTCTATCACTCAGGCGCTCACACACGTAAAGTCTTGCTATTTCTGCTGGTAGAGTGGCAATTTCTGATTTCTGATTCTAGCGCTGTCTTCTTCAGAAGCGATACTGGAGGGATATTATTTACCTATTCCAACGACGGCGTTTTCGTTTGGTTTGATTTGCAATTGTTCTGTTATTGTTGTTGACCCAAAAGCTAAGTTTTGCTTCGGAATTAACGGCATCGTAGTAATTAAGTACTCGCTACTCTGATTTTTATCGGTTTTTTTCTTTAAGTTGTTTTCGTTTTTTCGTTGTTATGAAAGACATGCTTTCACATTAAAATTATAAAATTTGCATTGTCAAATTTTCAAGACAGTTAATTTTGTTTTTTATTATTATTCATTAAGTGATTTGGTGTAAAGTAAGTAAGTTGTTTTGATTTAATAAAAATAAAAATTTATTTTTTATTATTCACGAATATCAAACCTAATTTGATTTAAAAAACAATTAATTGGTCCATAAAAAATTATAAAATTTCTCATTTTTATTCATGAAAAAAAATTATATTTTTTTTCCTCTTAAGTCGTTTTCCTTTTTGCATTCTGATTAAAGACATGCTTTCTCATTAAAATTATAAAATTTCCATAGTTAAATTTTCAAAACAATTAACTTATTTATTATTGTTGTTGTTGTTATTCACTAAGTAATTTAGTCTAGAGCAAATGAATTGTTTTGATTTGATCAAAAACTAAAATTCAATTTTTATTATTTACAAACATCAAATTTAATTTAGTCTAAAAAACAATTAAGTAGTTGACTAAATTAAGTATAATAGAACTCAATCTCAATTAATACGAAAATTAGTTTAAAAATATTTACTATTTATAATTTTTTTAAATAACTTTTTTATTACTATTCCACTCTAAAGGATATCGTTTAATGAATTTATACGTTAATTGAGATTAAATATTTTTTTCTAAAAAAATTGTAAAAATACGTTTTCTACATTGGTATAATATTTTAAAAAAAATTTAATAAATTTTTATAAATAAAAATCACAGAAACGAACATATTCGTTGACCACCAACTCATATATCAATTTATATCAACCTTATGAAATGTTGAGCATGGTAACGAATAAAATGTAAGAAATTATGGTTATCAAATTTTTTGTTTTTTTAATCTTCTTATTTCAGAATTTAAATGTGAAACTCATTATTTGTATCTTATATTTTCACCGATGCCTACAAAACTTCCTCTATTATCTTTTCAATAAATTGAATTTTTAATTTTAATCAACTGAATATAATTTGTCAAATAAAAAAAATATTACTAAATGAAGAGGATAGAGACTTGGGGGTGAATGATTATATTAACGAAAGTGAAAGAAAAGTTGATAATAATGATTTAAATAGCGATAAAATTTATTTAATTAGCTGAGATAAATTTTTGATTCTATCAGATTATACTTAATTAAACTCATTTAACCAAATTAATGTATGTGTGTGTATATATATATATATATATATGAATCGGTGAAAACATATGGAATAAATAATGAGTTTAGCCTTGAATGATCACGAAAACGTTGAGGGCGAGCTTGATAAAACTGTAATTCCAACTCTCACCCCACTTAAGTTCAAATCTTCTAATAGAACAGTAATGGGTGTAAGAGAGCAGACGAAAAGGGAAAAAAAGTAATAATTGTGGACAAACAAAATTAGAGAAGTGGAGGCGCAGACAGCCACAACCAGAGCCAAGAAAGCGGGAGGCCAAAGAAGAGGGCATGGATCAATCAATCACAATTCACAGCATAGACTTTCACTTCCCAAACTAAAAAACTGTTACTCTAAAAAACCATTCCTTTCCTTTCCAAAGTGAATGGGCAGCAGGTGGAGGGCTACTGCTTTTCTTCTCCTCAACCACATAACCACAAAAACCTCTAACTTTCTATCACCTAACCTTCTCAAACCTATCTATCACCCACACCCTTTAACTCAAACTGCTTATGGCTTCAAATTCAGGTCATTTTCTGCAAGCCCCTCTCGGGTTTCGATTTATAGCAATGAAATTGAATCTGGGTCTCATGATTTGGCTTTTAATTATGCTTTGGGACCTAAAGAAGATGAGGAAACTGGAAAGATCCCCGTTAAAGCTTACTTCCTCTGTACCAGGTCTGCCACTTTATTTTTTATTTTTTTCTTTTCGTTAATGGGTTTCTTCTATGTGTTTGTAGAAATGTGTATTTTTTGCTGTAAGGTTGTTTGGTTATTTAATTAATTATTTTGTGGTGGGTTTCTATTGGTTTAAATTGGTGGGTTGTTGTGTTTGTATGCAAAAATTGTGCAACTTCTTTTGAAAGATTGTTTTTCTTCTTTTTTTTTTTCTTTTCCTGCTGAGTGACTTCTTTTGATGTTGGTAAAATGTTGTCTATATGCAGACAGTGTCTGTTGTATTGGCTGTTTGGTCATTAAAGGTAATGATTTTAATTTACTTACGTTTAATGTTGCTGGGATTTGATTTTTGATTGCAAGAGTCTTTCTTCGGTTTTTTATGTGCTATCCTCTCCATGCTTTATGTTTTCCCTTTCTCTTACATTCGTGGTTCTGTTTTTTTTTTTTTCCTTGATGTTTTGGTTTTCTCAGATTCATGGTTTTGGCAGTATTAATTTGAAGAGCATGCAAGCAGAGAATTTAAGCAATGTTGTTCCTCCTACCTCTCGCTCAACAAATTATATTGTCCTCAGATTTTTCGATTTCTCTTCAGAAATTAGTGTAAGATGATTGAAAACAAGTACAATTGTGACATTTGTTAAAGTTGCTACTTTGTTTGTTAACTTTTGAGATTTGTTACTGTTCCAAACATCCTACCTCCTTATGCCTTTCAAGGTGATTTGTTTGACTGTCATCTTAATAACACATGACTTTTAATTCAGGCACTTGGAATAAGAGAATATGTCAGCTGCCGCTACATGGTTGTATTCCAATATGGATCTGCTGTTCTATTTAATATTGAGGATCCTGAAGTTGAAAGGTACCTGGAAATAGTAAGGAGGCATACTTCTGGATTGCTCTCCGAGATGAGGAAAGATGGTATATTTCTTTGAGAAGATCCTATATTTTGTTTTATTCGAACAGGGAAATTAGTTCATTTGTCTTGTTTAGTAGATTTATTTAACATCTTGTGATATTTTGCAAACATGATACTCTTTGTGCTTTAATGATTGAGATGAGGATTACATTTAGGACAGTCGTCATGATCCATGTAACCAACAGCAACTAGTTTGGGATTGAGGCTTGGTTGAGTTGAGTTGAATTCTCATGGTTTTATTTGTCTGTCAACTTTTCCAAATTTTGCTGAGTCGGCTCCGTAATTTGTTTTGCAACCACTTAGCTTTTTAATAATTTTTGAATATGTGAATGATTTTTCTTGTTTTGCCCTTGATTTCTTCTTTTATTAGATTATGCGATAAAAGAGAAACCTCTTCTGGCTGAGGATATGCAGGGAGGCCAAGATTACATTGTTCTCAAAACCTTAGACACTGATAGTATTCGCATTATTGGAAGTGTGCTTGGCCAAAGCATTGCTCTGGACCATTTTGTTTCACAGGTAACATTGTGCTTGTATACTTGATTATGGTGCAATATTAAAAGCTATGTAGTAGAAGAAGGCATTAATTTGTTCATAACAATGTGGCATATTTCAAATTATTGAAACTTTAATCATTTTGATGTCGCGATTCAACTTGTGGAACATTTTTATTTATTATTGAAAAATGGCTAGCATGGTTTCGAATGGGATGCCAAGTAAATAGAAAATTGTTAATTTATTCCGTCTCTCTCTCTCTCTCTCTCTTTCTAAGGTTGATGGAATGGTTGAAGAGTTTGCTGGCATAAATCGTGCAATGGAAAAAACTGGGACTTTCACAATGGATAGGAAAAAGCTCCTTCAACTTGTTGGGAAGGCTAATTCAAATCTAGCTGATGTGATTCTTAAAGTTGGTCTTTTTGAGAGGTACTCCATTGTTACTATTGCGTGTTTAATCTTTCTTTGCATATAATAAGTTTAAATGGCCTCTTTTACAAACTCTATGATCTAAGTTCCATTTTAGATGTAAAACCAGCTTAGAATCGTTTAGGTTTCATTTCCATTTCCCCATGTGTTTACCATTGTCGGTCTTTAAGAAACTCATGCCAATAGGTCAACTGTTTGAGGCATGAAGATCTTAAAGTGCAGGAAACCTTGAGGCATGAAGATTTTAAAGAGCAGGAAGCCTTTTCAAAAAGGAATCTTCTTTTTCTTGGGTAGGGTTGTCTCCAATTTAAGCAAAGACATCCTGCATCTGAATGGATCTGCTGCTTGTCTTAGAAAAGGAGTTCTGCATGGGATCCTTTGGGTGTTGGTTCAAACAATGATGATTCCATGGAGAATACAAACTGCTAATTTTCTTTCGTTATGTTCAATAATATGCCCTTAAGTTCCTTGTCGAACTAGTCTGGTATCATTGTGAGAATAATTGTTTGTGTGCTTCAGCTCCGTTAGATTTTTCAGGTTCCTTGTAGAATCTTATTTCAGCTCATTAAAGTGTAGACCCTTTTATCTAAGGAAAAAGCGTTGAGACAAGCCTCACATAGAAAATGCAGGAATTACAGGTCAACAAGAACGAAATTGTAAAACTGGTGGATGGGAATCAGTGTCCTAAAAGCACAATATATGCTGCAATTTTTTAATGTGCATTTTGCAGCCTTTACCAATTCTATTCTTTCCTGTGCAGATCTGAAATTGCTTGGAGGGATGCAAAATATTCTCAAATATACGAGTACCTGAGGGAGGAGTATGAAGTTACACAACGCTTTGGAAATCTGGATTTCAAATTAAAATTTGTAGAGGTACGCATCTGCTTTTATTTGACCTATAAATGAATATTACGGTTTTTGGTTATTACTCATTTTAGATCGCTATTTGTATGGTTATTGTAGTAATTGTGTTTATAGAGATTTAGGCTTGAAAGAGCATATGATCTGTGGTGCTTACTGGAGGAAGCAGTTGCATAAATGTGAGGATGCTTTAAATGTTTCAAAAAATGTAAAGAAATTTAAACAAGCAGGCATCTTTATGGAGAGTAGACAGTTGATTGATTTGCATTGTCATTTAGGACTTTTTAAGGTCTTCGTCCAAAATGTTACATTTGGACTGAAGTAGTAAATTAGTGATTTTTCATCTGGCAGTTGGTCGATGATCTGCACAAGCACAACTTCCACATTTTACTTTTCAGAATTTGTTGTGATAGTTATTGTGATTTGTTTATCTGGGAGCTGCTCTCTCATCCCCTCTCTCTCCTCTTCCAGCACAACATTCATTTCCTTCAAGAAGTTATCCAAAACAGACGATCAGATCTTCTGGAATGGTGCATTATTTTCCTGCTGAGCATAGAGAATATCATATCAATATATGAGATAGTTCAAGGATGAAGTGCAGATACATCACTGACTTGATGAACCCTATGGAACCTAGGCTTACAAGAAAAGTTGGGATCGTCAGATGGAGTGACAGTTATTCAAATTTTTTATAGAGCAGATCAATTTTTCAATATATATCTGTTATACATGATATTATTTTGCAGTATAGCACCTGGAAATTTCCTGATGTCCATTTTGTAATATCAGTTTTACAAATAGAAAATGCGGAAGCAAAAGGCAACCTTTTCATCTGCTGGCGTGTCTATGTATTGACAGTTTTGTGCATACATGTTTTAAATGCTTTAGTTTTTCTCTTTTAAAAATGAAAAGGTCAATGGGGAAGCAAATTCACCTGTAACCAAGTTCAGCTTCTTATAAGTATGACGAAGCAGGCGGCAATGCTGCCCATATAACTTCAGACCGGCTGGAGATAGGTCATGCATGTATAAATTCAAGTCTGACATTTTGACCAACTTGAAATCTTTGAGCTGATACCGCTAAAGCAAATGTCTGCATTTGGCTGCAATGGTGCTGCTTTTCTGCAATGCCAAAACTCAGCGACCGAACAAGAACGTATTCAATGAAGAAATGTGGATTATCTGTTATTCATGTAGGCTAAAACAAAGTGGTGACATTTTTTATAGTTGGACAAATTGCATCTCAATTTGGCGGTGGAGAAGGGCATGTATACCAGAATGAGGAATTAACATACGCAGTTTAGAAGGCATACACAACATCCATGGTGCCCAGTATCAATGGAAAGCGTTTAGTAGACTAAAGAGCAATCGACATATGATGCAAATGCACTCTGCTCAGCTGTACCCATCTATCATGTGCATCAGGTTGATTTTCCTGTACCTAACAATCTATGGCCAAATTTCTCAACATTTTGATGGTGTAAATATCATCATGCTATTGCTAAGTTCTCATGCAGTCTTAACGCTTCCATGCATGGCTCTCAACGATCCTTTTTCCACCAAATGCACTCATGCGAAAAAGCTAATAATGGTAAGTATAAAATCTCAAACTCGTTGCAATCGCATAATCAAGGTCCATCATAGAAGCTATTGAATTTCGAATATTACATCCATCCAGACAAGAGACTTTTCTATTGTTGGCTACAAAGCACGTGTTGTGCTTAATCTCCCAAAAAATTACTAAAAAAACGAACTTCAACCATTGATGAAGATGAAAATGTTCCACATCCTCGGTTCAAAATTCCTCCACCCTGATAGCAGCCTGCGGCACATCATATGTTTTTTTAGGCCTCGACTTCTTGACACCAGCTGTAAACCACACCTTATCAGACTTGCAGCTCTCAACTGCCACGCTCGTAACCTTAACCCATACTAGCACCTTCGTCTTCATTCCCTCTATACCCGTGAGCTTTCCCCTCGTAAGTATTGCCTTTACTCGAGTTGCATACCTAATTACAGAAGAGTCCTTGAAGCTGACCTCACATACAGAAGGCAAGTACACAATCAGCTTGGCCTTTGTTTCATCAAATTCATAGCAGGTTATGTTCTGGGGAAAGAGGCCCCGTGGCAAGTTGTACTCTTGGAGGAGATCTGGCAAGCTTTTTAGTGGCTTTCCTAAAGAAACAAGTAACGCACAGGTAAGCATCTGGCGTAACAGACATGACTTCGAAAATGAGAATCTATAATGCTGTCCTTTGTTAAAAAACCCAAATTAATCAATCTCAAGTCAATTGAAGAAAGGGAGTCCTGAATTACTTTTAAATAGTTTCAGGAGCTCAATTCTAGGAGCAAAATGGAAATATCCAGAGTAACGCATTAAAAATGAGAAAGAGGTACTAAACATTCACTGAAGTGTGTGATGTGTAAAGTTTTGAAAAGGGAAAACAAAAGGGCAAGCACAAAAATATATTGTTCGCTGCCATGGGCATCAAAATGAGGAAAATGTATCATCGTTGACCCAGTCTCTTGGTTATCTTATAAAACCTTATTCAGTTCTTCGGAAAAGCAAAATAAGAATCACTAAATTGAGCCAGGGAGCGTACGAATGATAAAAGATTCCCCTTCCAGAACATTCTTATCACTCTCAAGTGCATCGGAACAGTAATGCAGATAAATGAATACAATATCTTGTATGTAATGAAACAATCGGTGAAGAGGAGAACGAACGCCAACGACATTGACAGAAAAATTCAGTGACATAATAGTATCATTGGGGCACAAATACAAACACGGTGCATAATTAATTAATCCTTTCCTTAAGAATACATGTTGCTTTAGCTAACACGTAATTCTGTACCTTTCAGCTTGTTGAAAACCCATTTTGCCTTCTCTTCAACAGTATTTGAGAAAGTCTGCAACCAAAAGCAAGCGTGAATTTACTCCACAGACGAAATAAATTTCACAGCAAAGAAAAACTACCATACAAACCAAAAAGAAACTTCATCTCACAAGACAAGACTCGTAAATGAAATCCCAAAACTCCTCTCTAACAGGTAAATTTCAACTTCATTGATTCAAAGACAATAATTTCATACAAGAAACTCAACTTGATCTCCTCCAATTCATCTCTTCTCCCTTTTCTTTTCTTCCAGTAAATCCTAGAAAGGGAAACTTAAATGTAACTTTTTAAGTTTTTGAAACCTTTGGATTCAATACAAAGTAAAATATCTTTTCTACATTACACACATTGTTTTCCAATTATGGCATAACCATTTACTACTTGGAAAACCCATCTCCGAATTAACTCCTATTTCCATGAAAATCAACAGATCCATTTAAGATTAGCACAAATCATAAAATAGGCATCCTCCAATAAACCCACATTACCCCAAAATCACCAAAAACAAAAAGGTCTGGATAAGACAGGACAAGACAAGAATCATCATTACACGAACATAATGTTTGAAGAAAAGGAATACACTACAGACTAAGGCCATAACTTACATTGAATTCTTCAGTAATGTTGGATAATTCTTCTTTTGCTTTCTTTGAGATCCACAAGCTCCCAACTTTCAAGCTATTCACTCTTGTTAATGCTTTCTCCATTGCCTCTCTCTCTCAAGCACTGAGTAGAGTACTCACTCTCTCTGTTGTTGAGACTTGAGAGAAATGTGAGAGAGAGAGAGAGAGAGAGAGAGAGGAGGGAAAATAGCAAAAAGAAAAGCAGAGGGGTCGCTTTTCTGGCTAAAATCTGAAACCTGGCTGGCTGGCACAAAGGGACGAAAAAGTGCAGCTGCACACTTGAAAAAAAAGCGGCGTCCACAGTTCTCAAGGCACCGAATTGAGGGTGTTTCTGTAAATTTACGAAAGGAGTGAGATAGAATTTGTTGCGATTCCTTTTTGGATTATTTATTTGCTGCCCCGATTTTTCTGTTATGCTTTTTATTTGTGTGTGGAAGCAAGTTAGCATGATTAAATCAAATTAATATCATTCTCTTTTTAATCAATCACTTCTGTTTTTTCTTTTTAAATCAACTTTCGTATTTCGAAATTTTGTCAGTTTCAGATTGGGTTACAATGCTTAAAATTCATAATTTACAACGACAGATATAGCATGCAAGAAATTGTATACAAGTTAATATCGAATCTTCCTTCCATGCAAAGTTAGGCAAAATGTTCAGAAGGAAAAGATCAGCCAATTTTTTTTCATGCTTGTAAAACAAGGTTGACAATAAAGAGAGAAAGAATCACTTTCCCATAAAGGTGTGGTGTGGTAAAATGCAGATGACTAGTGCTCCAAGACTATGAAAACAACTGCCCACCAAAGTGTGAGAAATGAAGTAGAAAGATTGATACCCTAGAGCTAATACCGATGAAAAGTCTCTCAATTTTTCTCTCTCTTTGGGCTGCTTCATGTTCATGCATCTGTCAATACCAGACAATTTAAAGATGCAGTGGAACATGGTGGGCCTAAACCCACGATTTTTCCAGCTCACAGGTCGACAACGACAACTTCTTTTCGCAAAATCAGTTCCATGATATGCAATGCAGCTACCTCTTGCGTCAGCAACCCCTATCTTGCTGGGCCACCAGGCAAACTACTTCGTAAGTGACAGTTTCCTTGCCGTCTAATAGCAAACGAAGAAAAATTCCAGTAACGAAACGTAGGCAATAACATATGATATTTATTGTCCATGAAATGCTAGCTAGAATTTTATAATTATCCAAAGCAGTCTGCAAATTAAAAAAAAACATACATGACTTGGTATTAGTCCAGCCTTCTCAACAAGTATTCGACCTGAACTTCTTTCGTCAAAGGCATGATCCAATCCTCGTACAGATTGGCAACTAAATTTGGCTCCGCTTTATATCTGCGATCAGCTGCTTCGTTCTGATGGGTGACCCTTACCTCTTGGCCATATTTCCTTGTTTTCATCTCCACTCGCTTTTTTACGGCTGCTTCCACAGCTTCTCATGTGAGCAACTTAATGGGTCTAGCCCGATCCTGCAAGAAACACGATGCATAGGAAAGGATGACATTGTGAGAAGTTGGTCTTCGCGTCAAAAATATATAGTCAGGCCAAAGGGAAAAAAATTAGGAGAGAAATATCAAAGCAAATTTGCCTGTACTTTAATGGCAGCCTCATAAGCAACAGAAGATTCCTGAAATTTAGCCTCCGCGACAAGTTTTCTATAGTGGATTCTTCTTGACGAAGTCTGCAATAAGACTCAAATAGTAGAAACAAAACACAGGATTTTAGAATGAACTGTCTTGCAGAAGTCATCCAGTTTTAATTTACCAGTAAGCATCCACACAGCACAAAAGCTCATTGCAAATACTTGCATGTTACTTGGTTTGGGCGTCAGTTAGAGAAGTTTAGCAAAGTTTCATGATGGCATACCTTACCAATCCTCATTTCAGAGGCAAGACTCAACACTTCATGGATTCCACAAGAAATTTCAAATCTCGATCACCAAAAAAAAAAAAAATGGAAATCTAATCTTCCTGATCATCAATGATTTCTGCTCCTCTATAATCAAGAAAATAAAGGAAAGAGTGCAGTAACTCTCTTAATCTAAGCAAGAAAATAAAGGAAAGAGTGCAGTAACTCTCTTAATCTGCTTGGTACATTCAAGGTAGTGAATAGGACGATTTTCAACCTCCACAAAAGTACAGAGTTCTTGTGGAGAGCATCTTGGCAACATTGAATACCATCATACTTGCTTCATGGCGTAGAAATCAACTAGGGGCTACTTAAAATATAGTAAAAGGATCAGTTCAGTGGCATAACTGCAAGCAAACCGTGTCACAAACCACAGCAGAACCATAGTTGCCATCATCCCCGGCTTTCACCAACCTTGGAAGAAGGTCCTTGAAGTACATGTTCCAAGCCTTGCTTATATTGATTGAATCAGCACATGGATGTAGAACCTAATATCACATCAGTAAAGAGGCCAAAATCAGTCAGCATAGAAGTCACTCAAAAATCAATTATTTTAGAAAGAATTGCAACTCATTCATTCAACCGAACAGAGTTAGAAGCCACGAGCAAGTGTCACTTGAGATATATATTGTTAGGTAATTGTGCTATATAGTGCTTGTTAATTGTGTTACCAAACACAGGACCCAGTAGATCAAGTCCTTACATATTAAAAGAAAGTCGAGAAAGATATAAAATTGCTGACCAAGCATCACTACGGTGCAAGTTTATTTTGAAACTATAATTCACATTTTAGCTGCATAATGCAAGGTACACAATAAAATATTTCAATACATTACCATGTTTTCTAACAGGGAAATATTGAACAAGCATTACAATTTCAACTCAATCGACTTTTTAGTAAAGAGCAAATCTTCTGGCAGCAAGATTAAATTGTACTTTATTTTCTCAAGTACTTGATACTAGGAAGGTTTAGCAAATAACAGAAGGTGGTTGCTTAATCAATCAAGTTCAACTGTATCTAGAAGCATTGAAATCCATACAATTGCAAAAACAAACATGAACAGCATGCTTTTGGTTTATGACCGAAACAAGTGCTGTACATATCCATGATGTCAATTAGGTTTCCATGACAAAAGTCTTGACCCACACATACACTAGAAACATATATGCAGTTAAAATGCCAACGAATTACAATTATACAAAATCTAACAATTCAACAAAAAGATGACACAAGAACAGATTATGTCGAAATACCCTTATTAATTGCATCCTAATGTTTTAGGATTTGGTAACAGTGTATCCATATTAGGTTCGGCAGTGATAAAATCTATACGAAACCACGCAGGCTGCTCGAATCAGCACCTCCTTTCTCTATTCTCTAGGTCTTCAATGTGTATAAGCAGCTTAATGCTGCTCGAGTCACAAATAGTATTGCTTATCTGCCAGTCCAAAGGAAAGGCGTTGTAGATAGACTAATCTGCCAAAGGGTCATCCATAAACTTATTTATCTTGCCATTTGGAGCAAAGACACATCGATAATAACAATGCCCTTGATGTGCCAAACCAAAACATACAATTTGTCATCTTGGTTCATAATTATATTAAACAGTACTCCTCTTTTTTATGTACCTTTATAGTTCAGAATTAATCACGTCATGACATAAATATTTAAAGTTCAAAGATGAAAACATAATCTAAACTGAGCATTCAAATTTACTTTTACAAGAAATGCCAATCATATTTTGAATGGTGATCAAACATGTAAATAAAGTCATCAAGCTCTCTGATCTTCAAGACATCTTTATTGAATTTTGAACATTATCAACAGAAAAGGTATTTGATTGTTTGTTTCTCTTCTCTTGGAATTTTGGCGTTATCTTCTAACTTTACTCGCTTTTTTTTAAGGTAAAGATGGATTTCAAACATATTCATATATGGTTCATAAGGTTCAAAATTCAAATTGAGATGTCATGACAAACAGAGAGTTTGATTACAACGCTAGTTTATCGATTTGAATACTGCTCAAAACATGACTGGAATCTCTTGCAAAGTAAAAATTTGAATGCTCAGATTTGATAATTTTTCATGATTGAGAAACTGCAAATTTTATTTATGTTATGATTCATGACCAAAATATGGGACATTATTCGGAACTGTAAAGGTAAACAAAATAAAGAATGACATGTTGTTTGGTGCAATTACAAACCAAGATCAGAAAAGGTATCCTATGAAACACCAAGAGCATCATTATTATGGATGTATCTTAGCTCCAAATGGCAAGAAGAAAAAGAAGTGGACTTAAATGCTAGATAAGTTCCCTTTCTGAAAGAAATGGTATGTTGTATGTGTCTTTCTGCTTCTGTTTCTAACAGGTTGCCACGCTAATGAAACACAATCTGAGACTGTTACTTAAAACATTAAATCATGCAAATCCTATGCAAATTACAGAAAATTAGAAAAGAAAGGTAACATACATTAAGAATTGCAGAAAACAGAGTTTTGAAGAGGAAACAGAGAGTCACAGAAAGCACAAAAAGTCACCTTACTTGGACAAAAAAACCCCAAAGGTTTGTAGAGAATAAACATCTTTAGAGACAAGCAAAACTAAATAATCAGCACCCAAATAGAAAAAGGAAAAGACAAGGAATCTAAGAACTACATCTAAACACCAATACTTAAATAACCATGCATAACATGCTTTTGGTTTACAATCTATACAAGTTCTGTACATTCATGCGATATGTATTAGGTTTCATGCCACAGATCTTCCCAGTACATACATCAGAATTATTTGTACAATTAAATGTATACAAAATACATGTATAAAGAATTTAATTACTCAACAAAACGATGACATAAAGTATAAGATATATTGACTGATTGGCATAGGCTTGCTGAAACATAATCTAATCTTTAAGGACGGAAATGATAGGTCAAGCAGTAATAAAATGCTTAACTTAGAAACTACCCATGCTGCTCGAATCAGGGTTGCTGTTTGTATTCTAACTTTCTGGGTGTTTATAAGCAGCCTAATATGTTGGAGAAATGATTGTGTTTAATGCATTTCTCTCTCCAAAAGAACAGAAGGAAAAGAAAGAAACGGGAAAATATGGCCAAAATTCAAGGAGAAGAGAAACAAACGATCAATACTGATAATGCTGAAAGAAAATTCACGAAGAGATGTCACAAAAGAGTTTGATGGCTTTTACAGATTTCATTACCATTCAGAACAGCACTGAACTATCTTGTTAATAGTGATACTCATATAGGACAACAATTAGTTATTTCATTACCAGAAGTTCTATACATGTTGTATGTTTGTGTCTTCTAAGCAGTCTATAGGTGGTTCCAAATGATGAACCAAAAAAGAACAGCAATCATGATAGCAGACGTTAATCGGAAATTACAAATTTGGATAGCAGAAGAACTTCTTGAGACCATTTTGGACAAAGCTCAGTATCAATTGCATAATTCTCAAAACGTTGAATTAGCAAATTAAACAAAAATGTAAAAAACAAACAAAGAAAAAAGTTAATGGCATGTCCTAATGTCCTATTTATGGACTGGCTTGACCATTATAGACACTATTTTTTCCATAATTTGTTTTAACTTTTCACCATCAAACCCACAGATTTGTCTAGTTATTAGCATCAAAGGATCACCTTTTTAATTATATATCATTCACTGCGTCAATGATAGAAACGTAAGCAACTATGCCAAAATTGAATGTCCAAAGCTTAAACGAGGCTTACCTGAAATATAAGGAGGAAGAAGCTTGAAGAAAGCGAGACCCATTAGCTCGAAAACCGATGGGAGAAAGTCGAAAAGGAGAAACTACAAATTCTTCAAAACCCAGTTCGAATTTGTTTATTATCACCAAATGGCGAAATGGGTTTTGGAGATATTGAAGATTGGAAGGCACAGGCACAGCTGAAATTAAAGCAAAAGCATATTTTATGCAATAGCTGTGTTTTGCATACACTGATGATAAAAATTGTGTCATTGCAGAGAGGAAAAGAAACTGAAAGCAGCAGTAACACTTTTCACGCAAAACGCTGGCGTGTTTTGAGAGTAGTGGAGGGATATACAAACGAGCTACTTGCCCGCTATAACAATGATAGCACGATACTATTTCTCAAAAATAATAAAAATAGCACACAACTGCTTGGTGCCCTATTTCTATTTTTGTTCATCGCACAGGGTAATTCGTTTCTTCTGTAAAGATGAAATCCAATCTTAAGTTTGTGTGATGTAAGAAGTTATTGAACTCGCAATATTTTCTTTAGAACAAAATTGTGCTTATTGAGTTAGTTTGTTTTGACAAATTGAGCTGAATTTATATAGTTTTCTGAAAGCAAAAAATCAAGGAAAATTTTGTATCTGCTATAATATTATTAATTAAAAATGACTTATATACAATTTAAGCCCAGCATTACTAGGCATGCAAGCCTTCCTTTTTCTTAAACCCTTCTTTAAGAATCACCAAAACCTCAGAATATGAGGCTTACCATCCTGTGTCTTCATGCATACCCTGCCTGTGCCAGGCCGAACCTCTGGGTCTGTAACTCTGGATTCTCTAGCACCAAGTTCCCGTACTTGTCTAACAAACCACTCTCTTCCACGCCAATCTTATACTTCATACAACTATTCAACCTGGTGTTCTCAACGTGGAAGGGGAATGTAATTACATGCTAGAAATATCAATATCCAAACTGCTCAACAAATCAATTTTTTAATGGGTGAAACAACAAGCACGCGTGACCTCGGATTAGTCCAGCCTTCTCAACAACTATTCAACCTCAACTTCTTTTGTCAGAGGCATAATCCAATCCTCGTAAAGTTTGCCAACTAAATGCGTCTTTACCTTATTTATTTATGGGTTCAGCTGAGTCTTCCTGCTGGGTGATTCTTAACTCTTGGCCATATTTTCTTGTTTTTCATTTCTACTCTTTTCTTAACAGCTGCTTCCACAGATTCATAGGTCAACAACTCCATGAGTCTAGCCCGATCCTACAACAACCACAACGCAAAAGGATAGGATGATAATGTGAGAAGTTTATCTTCATATATATATATATATCGATGCATGAATCATGGTGCACCCAGAGGAATAAATCAGTACACGAGTAGTATCTAAGCAACTTTACCTGCACTTTGATAGCATCCTCAACAGAAAGGTTGCGCAAATGGACTAACGCACCAAGGTATCCATAATAAAGAAAAGAAAATGGAGGGACCAAAAATTCGTATGATTTATCTATGATCAAAGCTTAGATCAAACTTTACCTGAAAGAGAAAATGGAGGAGTCTTTGAAGAAGGATGGATCTACTGGCTCAAAAATTCGATCAGAGAAATTAGAGGTTTATTAATTCGGTGATGATTGACAGGAAAAAAAAAAAAAAATCTAAAAAATCTTCAAAATTAACCCAGTTTACATTTGGTTTAATATCAGTACTAAATGTAAAGTGAGATATTTCAGATTGGGAGCTGAAGCGAAAGCAAATGCATATTATGGAATAGCTTTGGCTGGCCTCCATTGATGTTGAAAAGGGTCTTGATGAAGGAAGGAAACTTGAAAGCAGCAGGAAAATCTTCTTCTAACTCAAAAGTCAAAACGCTGTGTTTTCTTAGAGCAGCAGCGTCATAGACAAATCAGCAAATTTGCCTCCTATAAACACAAAATACCATGTGGTGCCTTTTTTTTTTCAATTCATAACAAAGGTTTTTTTTTTTTTTTTTCAACAAAAGAATTGAAATGGAATCTCAATTTTTTGTGATGTAAGAAATTGTTTAACTCGCTCTTCTCTCTAGAAGAAAAATGTGACATTCATGTAGTTGTGTTTTGACAAATTGAACTTATAGTTTAGTTCGAGATAATGTCTTGTGAAATGTAAGAATAAACAACTCTCTCTCTCTCTCTCTCTCTCTCATTTTTCGCAGACCGGTGTACATGTGCTGGAAATGGATTTATTTATGGCGATAACCTTTGATGATGATGTAATTGGAGCCAACCCACTTACGAATGGGCTAAGCCTCCAAAATTTGTACTTCTATGATTATCAATGGGCTAATCCTACAGAAGTTTTACTTATTAATGAGATCCAATAGAACCCAATAAAACAACTCAGGTGGTCTAGAATATTTGTCACATAATTTTAATATCTAATCAAATTAATAGAAGTATTTACAGAATATACCACGAGCTAACAAAAAAAATAAATTTAGTATCTGTAATATTATTAAAACCTAATTGTGAATAGCGTACACAAGTTAAGACGCTCAACTCGCTAGCCTTCCTTGGCCATGAATCTTTTAGCTTTCTTGAAAGCCTTCTTTAAGAATCCCCGAAACCTGACAATATCAAGCTTCACATTTTGCGTCTTCAGGTATACCCTAGCCTTAGTCCAATTCTTCCCAACAAAAGCCTCTGGGTCCTTTAGCACCAAATCATTAGTCCCATACAGCTTGTCTGCCAAGCTACTCTCTTCAACTCCAATCTCATATTTCATATAATTCAACCCCAAAATCCCAGCTGGCTTCTCAAAAAATTCTTAGCAAGCCATTCTGTTCCAATTGGCACTATTTCACCCAACACAGCTCCTGGCCTTTGAAACAAAAGATGTGTGATTGCAGCACCATGTACTGCCACCAATGCATGGCTTTCATGAATTAGCCTAAATGAGTTGACCAAAGGAGTGTCTGCTTTTGGTTCAAACACAATTACATTAAATCCAACCTTCTTAATTGCCATTATAACTTCTTTCAGATTCCATATCACTCGACCAACATTCCCTTTCCTGTTTGCCAAAACAAGTTGTGGTCTGGCACTGGCAGTTGATTTATTGGACATCAGGACATGGTCGTCATCACCTTGATTGTAGTAGGCCTTTTTGAGGAGTTGCTGGAAATCAAGGAGTGTTTTTGGGTGGGGTAGCGATGTGGGGTCCACTGCCATGTGGCCGTGCTTTACGAGCCCTACGGTCGCTGATGGGAAGCAATGAGTGGTGGTGATCTGATTGTCCATGTTGATGATGGGGTGGCGGGTGAAGTGAGGGAGTAGATCAGCGTACTTTCTGGCCCACCAACTTTTCCAATTTGTGATCACCAGGATCACATCTTGATCAGGGAAGAAAGAATTTATGGTAATGTAGAGGGGAATGAAACCGTCACTGAATTCATGGAAAAAGTTTCCAGTGTACCCGCCCGTACTGAATACCAAGGCTGGGCTCTTGTGGGCGACTCCACAGGGAAATTTTGGCGGAGATGAGGTGAGAATCAGTTCTTTGACCCTGGACGCTGCCGCTGCATCTAGCTTGCGGGGGTAAGGATGGGTTTTCACAATGAAGTTTGGCGGGGTAGAGTTAGTGGGGTCTATCAAGGATAACGTTGAAGCAACCGGATCCAAGGCAGTCGGGCCGTTGATTGAACATAGATCATAGCTTTTGTGCGAGCAGTCACATGTGATTGATCTTTTGGGTCTTGTAACTTGCAGTGATGATGAAAGTGCAAGACTATAGTTCAGTTTCCAGCTTACTAGACCTGAAAAAGAAACAAAGGCTTGTGCTTGAAATTGGCAAAAATAAAGAATAAAAATCCTAGTATATATCAATATTGTTTCTTTGATGCTATTTTCCTTAGTAATTCTTCAATGTCACCAAGTCTATTTTGATTTACGAGAACGAGTTTATGGAAATCATTTTAACAAGTTTATTTGTAACCTGCAATATTTACTTGCGTGGTTCATTACAGACTTACATCACATGCATGTATCTCATAATGCTAGCTACCAATTCTACATATGAGACTAAAATGGCATATCTCTAGCAAGCATAAGTAAATGAACACAAATATTTACACATACGTACCAATAATATTGGAATAGGACCTTGTCTGATCTCTTATAGTTGTGAGAGTGGCAGAGAGAAATATCACCAACGCTAGGAAACAAGCAGCGATCCCCCTTGTTAAACGTCTCTCCTTTTTCATCATGCGCTCAGAATTTGCTGCTACGCCTGTAGACATCAGTGGATATGTTGAACTTATCCTATATATTAGACATGAATTTCCGATTCGAGCTTTGTTTTAAGCGTATTGACTTTGAGAAGTTCAGGAACAAAGGCCCAAGAGGTGGCAAAATTTTAATTTCGTATTTATCATACGGGATTCGGAGAAAAAATAGTGGCAGGACGATATATATCCAGTCTTTGCTTTTAATATGCTTAAAAATATTTGATCATGTATACTGGATAGAGCTCATCAATCGCATCAAGAGGCTCCGGATTTGAGTAGTAGCTAGCCAGCTGCGAGGAAGTTGATCAGTAACTCTGAAAGAAAAACTGCTAGTATTTTATAGGAGGTTATACAGTGAAGCACCATAGATTAATATCATGGAACCATTAAAGGAAAACCCTTATCTTCAAATGCCAGAATCGGTAGGTAGCTTCTCTCTTACTAACAAGGTGGGACATTTGTCAAACCTGAAATACTAATAATATGGCAAGGAGAATCAGAAAAGCGAATGAAATGAAAAGTGGGGAACTTTTTAGATGCATATGAGATCTGCAGAATAAATTCTTAACTCAAAATTGAATTTGACCGAGGCAAACTTGAGGTCCCAGAATTAAATGCATTAGCAAACCTTGCAAATCTATTTCGCTACCTTAGATACCTCGAATCTAGACATTCATTAGTCCATTAAAAACTGTAAAAATGATAATGACAAGTGTACACCGGGGGTACAGAAGGGGGATTGGTGACGTATCAGATGTATTAAGTTCTGAGTCTCTGAACTTTTAAATCTAATAGATGAATAGGATTATTTCGTATATTTATAATTTTAAAACTATTGAAATTATCTAATTTAATTATATAACATTTAAGCTAAATGAAATTTTTTTTTCCTTCTAAATCTAACTTATTATGAATGTTGAAAAATATTTCCAAACTTGTATAACCTGTTGTGACTATATATACATATATATATTTTTTTAACAATAACAAGATTCGTAGTATCTTTTTTTTATGGAACAATTATAATCATCCACCGTCTTCAAGATTTATCAATAAAGATATAAAATCTTAAAATGGTTCAAATTAAGAAAGTTCTTCAATGCTTTCTAACAAAATTTCTTGTCTTGATCATATAAATGAAATTCTAGATTTGTACACGGAAAATGATTTAATTTAGTAATTTAGAATTAATTAAGTTTCATATTAATTCTATTCTAGTTTTATTTGATCTATTACTTGATTTCTTTCCTCTTCTTCTTTTTTCTCCATAACTTGATCTTAATTTTAATGATTTTATCTTTTAAAAAAAGCTGAGAAAATTCACATATTGGTGGTTAGGAGAAAGATAAGTGCTTTTTTTTCCTAATGCAAGAGCGAGAAAGGCTGCGTTTGAGGTTTATAATTTAAATATTAATTTTGGCAATATATAAACGATAATAAAGTTGGCAAGATTAACTGAAATGTAAAAGTAAATTTAATTTTATAAGAGAAAATCATTTAATAAAATCTTAAGCCATGCACCTCTTGTTAGACATTTTTTAAGTTTCAATTCTTTTGAAAAAGAATTTGAATCTATTAAAGCTTACTACAAGACTGTGATCTATTGGTAAACTATGACATTGATAACAATAAAAAATTATTAATTAAAACAACAACAAAAGGCGTTCGGGATTGAAATTGCAGGCGAGGTCACCCAAAAAAAATATAGCAATAGTGCTTCTCTCCATGTAGAAAAATTGCCAAGTAAACTTGAAGATTAAAGTTGATTAGTTAGGAACATTCTTTTATGTAAAAATTAAAAAAATATATAATTTTACTAACATATTGTTAGGTACAATTAAATCAACAAAAAATGTGTATATATACTAGAAAGCCACATTTGTACTTCACCATTTATAGAATGCCAGTTAAGGGAGACTATTTAATTTTTCTATTCAGTTTTTAATAATTTTGGATCAATTTATTGTTAATCAAAACTTTTAAAAAAAATTATTATTATTATTATTCAGTTTAAAAACCAAAATTTTGGTTTTAGTTTTTTTTAATTAATCCAATTTTTAAAAAATAATTTTTTTAAATAATGTAAATTGACAAGAAACATTATTAATCCATTATATATCTGTTGATTATTTAATTTTTTTCATTATTTTAAAAATTTTAAAATTTTAAAAAATTGATTTTCAGTTTAAATCAACTAATGCCAGTTGCAGAATTTAGTTTGACTAATTGATTATAAAGTACTCTATTGGTCGACCAAAAAAAAAGTTTTTAATCTTTTTCTTCTAATTCGGATCTCGAACTTTTTTTTTATTTATAATTAATTCATTTTATCTAAAATTACATTTGATGCACTTGAGAGGTATATAGTCATAAAATAACAACACATATCTTGTGTTTAATATTTTCATGCATGTGTCGTTACTTTGATAACTTCACGTCTTTGATGTTGTTTGAAATTGATTAACGAGATAAAAGAATTTAATTATAGACTGAAAAAAAGATTGGAGACCTAAATCAACAAAAAAGAATTATGAACCTTTTTTATAATCCTTTTTTATTTATATGCATAGTTAAAACTTAACAGTACTTTATAACTAATTAACCATTTAGTTTTAGATGGAAGTTTGCTTGGTCCTTGTTATTCCTTAAGCATGTTATCTGGTCCCTATTGTTTTGACTTGGTCTTTGGTATAAAATTATTTATCTTGGATATTAACAAAATTCAAAACGAGCGCGCATGCCACGATATTTTCATCGTACGTGTCTTGCTCCCTAAAAAACTAACCCAGTTATTAATTAGAATTGGGATTTCCATTTAAAGGTTTTAAAGTGAAACTCTAAATTATATGGGATGAGATCAGAAAATGAAGAAGGATTACTGCTCATTGTATAATTTAAAACTCATTAATTGATAAGAAAGAAAGAAAGAAAGAAATCATATCATCATGCTAATATGCACTTGAATTGTTTTATGGAGCCATAACAAGAAAAAAATAAATTAGAAGGACAATGTATATATAAAGTCATTTCAAATGCTCAAAAGAAGGTCATAAAATCCAACAAAAAATTAAATTAAATACAATGACCATTTTTTGTCCATAATGTTTATACTCCATAAAATAATATAATTATCATGCAAGAGATTGATTTTTTCTAACGTAAGGTATCTAGAGGTGAGCATTCGGTTAAACGGTTTGATTTTGTACGATTTTTTGTTAATCGAATTAAAAAAATAAAAACCAAAACCAAACCAAAATAAATTCAATAAATTCGGTCCGTAATCGAATTATTTCGGTTTGGTTTCGAAATATTTCGGTTTTAACCAAAATATTTTACTCGTAAAAAAAATCATTATGAAGAGATGTTTTGTACTAGCACTTAGTCCACTAGCCAATGAAGTAACATCTTGTTATCAATTAATCCTTTTTATAAACAATCACAAAGCCCTTGAAGATTTTAACTAAGCTTTAATGAAAACGAGTCCAAGTGTAATAAACTTGCTCATTCAAACACATTGTATCTCAATTAATTACACTCTGTCACTTTCTTTTCTTACCCCAACGAGTCCTCAAAATTTACTTCTCATCTACGTGTTTCAGTTTCAACAAGAATGAAGATTGAAAAGTTAGGGATTTAGAAATTAGGAAATTTTTTATTATTTATTTCGATTTTTGATCGAAACCAAAATTTTTTTCTAAAAACCGAACCGAACCGAAATAATTTCGATTTTTTCGATTCGGTTGTCTATTGTATAATTTTATATTTAAAACCGAACCAAATTTCATAATTCGGTTCGTTTTTATTCGGTTTTCGGTTAACTAAACCGTTTGCTCACCCCTAAAGGTATCCACCATTTCCTTTAAAAAGAAAATGCAATAAAGGGATGAATCATTGAACTTTATGGTGCATAATCATTTCTCAATTTTAGAATTTAAATAAATTGTTAAGTCTTACGATAGATGCTAACTTCTCGACTTTTTATATTACTCGTCTATTTAGTGATATATTACTCTTCTACTTGTGGTTTCATTATTTATTTATTTGATGTGAAATAATTTTTTTTTAATATTTTTCTTCACTTATAGTCCTTTTTTTGAAATCTGTCAAATTTTTTTTGACTATGGATGTGGTAACAATCTCCTTTACTTGCAATCTATTATTTGAGATCCGTCGGATGGTTTGGATTTTGAAATCTTTATTTAACTTTTGAACTTTTGATACCATGTTAAATTTGATAACTAAATATGAATTCTATCCACAAGATTTAAACGTTGTGTATAACTCGTTTATCAACTTTGTAAACTACTCTATGTTTCACAAAAATTGTCCTCTTTTCTATTTATGTATGTTCAACAATACTTATGTGGTCAAAATTTTAAGTAATATATTTTCCTAAAATACTTTTAATTGATAAAGAAAATCAATTATTCCTTCTATTTTATGTTATTCACTAAAAAAATTTTAAAAATCAATATTGTTTGTATTTTTTTCTTATACATATAAATACTTTTAACATAAAAAATTCAAAAGGAAATTTTTTGTTATATGAAAAATATTCATTCTTATAAAGACTTTACTACATGCCAAAATGTTGAATGTAAAACATTTTTACTAGTATTTTTGTTTTTTATAATTGTTTTGAATTTAATTATAATTAACTTAATGATTTTTTTGTTTAATCTATCATTTTAGTTTTGAATAGATTTTCTCTTGAAATTAATATTGATTTCACGTAATACACGATTAAATTTGATAACTAATAACAAAATAAGTATTTTAGAAACATATGAGCAAAAAATGATGATATATTATAATAATTAATATGAAAATTCAAAGGAAATTACTATTATTGTTTGAGACAATGCTTTTATTCTACAACCCCAAGCGCCCAGCATACCCAGAATGTGGTCCCTAGCTAGCCCTCATTTTCCATAAACTTCTTGGTCTTCTCATATGCTTCCTTCAAATATTCCCTAAACCTAATCAGATCAATTCTAACGTTTTGTTCTTTCAGATATATGTCCATAATAGCACTAGACCAATTTTCACCTCGGAAAGTCGCTGGGTCCTTCATCAGTAAGCTATTTTTATCGTACTTGTCGATCAAACTGCTCTCCTCCGCTCCAATCTTGTACTCCAAGTACTCTAATCCCATAGCCCTAGCTGAATTTGCAAAGCACACCTCTGCCACCCAATCAGCCCCTATCGGAACCACTTGAATGAACACTCGGCCTGGCCGAAGAAACAATGAATGCGTAAGTCCGGCACCATGTACGCCAACCATTGCATGACTCGAGTTAATCAGTGCATAAGCTTGGTCCAATGGGGTCTGAGGTATAGGCTCAAAAATAATCACATCAAAACCAATTTCTTCAGCTAATTGTTTTACTTGGTTTTGGTTTAAAATAACACGTCCAACACCTCCGCTTCGAGTCGTCAGCACCAGTCGTGGCCTCGGTTCTGGCGAATTGCACTTCCAGGGATGGTTTTGGCCATGGTCATAGGCCTTATCTAAGAAGGTACGAAAATGGGCGAAAGTTTGTGATTTTGGCATTAATTTTGGATCTATAGTCATAAATCCATGTGATATGAGGCCTAAAGTGGCAGACGGGAAACAATGAGTGGAGTTGTCTTTATCAGGAATTATAATAGCGTGCTTGCTAAAAGCATGTAGCAAATCTCCGTACTTACTAATCCACCAATCCTGAGCTTCTGATATTACAAGGATGAAATCTTGACTCTGGTGGAAGACCGAATTAACGGTGATGAAGAGGGGAATGAACCCATCATTGAAATCATGAAAGAAGTTTCCAGTGTAACCTACCGCGCTGAAAACAATTGCCGGAACGCTGTGCTGGGCTTCACATGATGGGCTTTTAGGGCCTGAAATTAGAGTGAACTCTTGTATTCCTCGCATCACTGGCTTTTCCCACTTTCTTGGGTAAGGCCTGATTTTCTCCACGGTTGTTGAGTTTGTGGGGTCCAAAAGGTAGAATGTGGAGTTGATAGGGTCCAAAACAGTTGGGCCGTCGATTGTGCAAAGATCATAGCATCGTTGAGATCGGAGGCAGCTGATTTTCTTGGATTGAGGAGGAGGCGGCGGCGGAGACGGAGGAGGTAATGGGTATTTCAGGAAAACATTATTCCGTTTCGAGAGTTCAATTCCTGCAAGCACAACTTAAGAATCACAGGAATGTCTCAAACAAAGCATGGATGGACATGCATTAGTTTGTCCAAATTAAAGAAGATGAAAAATAAGAGTTCACGTAATACATTTGAAAAAGATGCTAGTTTTTGACACGATTGAAACGCTCAGAGAGGCCTATGGCACTCCCGTATTGTATCCTATTCTTCTGAACCAAACAACACGAATTTCCTGTCATCTACTGTCCAAGAAAAAACGACTCCTATATCAGATTTCGCATATCTTGTGGGTTTTCGTAATCCTAAATTTTCAGCGTAAGAAATACTTTTTCGGTTCTGAAAAGACTGTTTTTTTTTAAAAAAAAAATTATACTTTCTTAAAATAGTCCTATTTTATAATACAGTATTAAATTGGATGGATTTTTTCCTTAAGAAGATATCTTATGATAGTATTTTTTTAAAAAAAAAATGCTCATATAGTCATATGGCATTATAATTAATAAAAATTTTAAAACGTATAAAAAAATAAAAATAAACTCTCACTTCAGAACATAAAGAGTCTTTAAAATTATATAAAACAATATGAATTTTTCAACCATTTAAAGCAAGTCCTCATATTTTTCTCAATATTGAGAGTTGTGATTAATTTATAATCCTCATGATAGGAATTTTTTTATAAAATCAAAGTATCCAGAGTCAATTTTTTGGATACTCACTAATTATAAGATAGTTATCTATATTAATATTAAAGAATTCAAGAGAATTTTACATTTTATAATTGGACATTGAATTTGGACCGTTTCAATTAAAGAGCACATATCCGGAGACATCACGTCAATCTTCTCAGATTGTTTAGTATTTAAGCATTTGTCTACCATACAATAAGTTACGATCATGATGAGTTCAGATATTTATTTCTAAGTGAAATATGGAAAGAAAGCAAAGCTATGGATTTTCTTCCGTATTAAACTCGTAGAGTTTGTGTGCCTATCATGAAACAATCATGGCATGGCTTAATTGTACGCGTTTAATCACGGAAAGATAATGTAAGTCGTAATCAATGCATACCTGGAGCATACTTGGTCAAATAAGGCACACTTGATCTTAAAAACCTTGAGTGGATGGTATGTAAAACAAAGAAGCACACGAACAATGGGAGGCACACTACTGCAACCTTTGAATTTCTTTTCTGCATTATCTGTAGTGAGGATCCACGGATTGTGAATATGTTTATGAATGCAAGGCGCTTCTTGGCTGCAAGCTCCTGTTCAGTACACCATATTTGGCTTAAAAAATCAAAATCTGCCCTCTCTTCGTTTCTTGTCTCGAGAAAAAAATAAAATAAAAAACGGTAAGAATATGAATCAGGAGTTACTAGAAATTAGGGGGGAATTGAAAATGCTTAATTTCTTACAAGCTGAGTGGAATATTTTCTAAACCACTCCTCTATCAACTGATATGTGGTCTCTCTACAATTAATGGAGAAGAGAGAAGATGAGACTGATCAGAAGTAGTACCTGACTTGAAATTTTGCTATTAACGTAACCCTTTAGATTTCTTGATAGAACCAGCCTTCTTCTGTCTTGGATGGAGGAAGAATCTTATTTGTGAAAGGAGGAGGTCAGTTCTAAAAGTTAATAACAGGACTGGTGATCTGACCAAAAACGGAGAATAACAAGAATACATGTAGGATGGAAAATTTTAGGGTGGAATTGATAGAATAGGACAGTCAATTATAACGATGAAATTGTGCACTAATTTCACCTACCGAGTACATGTGTTGAACTTGAAAATAGCACCTTGCTGTCTCATATCAGAACTTTTTATAGAAGGAAACAAATAAACGTTGTAACATAGGGCTAGCATGAATGTCAAATGTCAACAATAGATCGGCTCCAACCAAGTGCAGGCGTGTGCCACGTCTGTAGGTTTGAAGGTCCTCTCCATTCTTGTTTAATACTTTTCCAAAAATTAGTGCTTAATATGTGGCTTTGACGATTTTTCTCTTTTTCTCCTCTGTAAAATGAAAATGGATGCACTGAAAACACAGTTCGCCAACAACAAAATTTTGTTTTATATAACTGTTATCTATTCGATAACCAAATTTTATGATGGTTAGGTGCAAGTATCAATAATTCCAGCATACTCTGCGTTTTTTTTTTTTTTTGAATAATTAATTTATTCTGTTATCATGGAATTAAAGCAATATATATCCATTATATGATCCAACTATCCAAGATTTCACGGGCATCTTAATAAAACAAACAAATATATATAGTTCATATCCACAAGCAAAGGAAAGGAAAATTGCTGGCTAATGAATTGTTTCCAAGTTCATATTCTAAGAAATTGAAGTGACCGACCGTTGAAGGGAACTGAAACACAGAGCCTTCACGATTCTATTAAAACCTCTTGTAAATGAGAGTAATACACAAAAATAGTTAATAATCTCTCGGTTATTTTATTTAGGTGAAAAAACAACAATGAGAAGGAGTTGTTCCGTTCATTGGATTGGAGATGGACGTGACTTCAATTCCATTTCGATCCACGAATTACTTATCGGCTTGAGAAGTCCAGTGTTTAAATCCAACAATTCTCAACAGATCGCATGCTCACACTGGCTTATTGGACCTTGGACTTGGACATTCTAGCCCGTATTGCACCAGGCTAACACAGTTTTTGGTCCAAGATCCACATCAAACACCGTTCTTTTTTATTTTTCATTTACTTAATTTTTTAGAAGGCTCTACCAAACAAAAAAAAAACTAATGATGCTATAAAATAAGAAAGGAATCCTATAACCCAAATAGGAAGGTAATATTCTCTCAGTTTTGTTTGAGTGGACCGCCCTCGAAAGGAATTGCAATTTGTTATTTATTCTATGATTAGAAAGGAAATGTCTCAATCACAATAGATAAGTTTCACCAAACTGAATAAAAATGAAACATGAAAGGTTGCATCACAAGCACATATTTTATTAAAAATGTTCATGTCAAAGAAAAATATAAATTATTTTAAAACATTATTTAGTAATTTAGATTTTTGAGTTGAAATGATAATTTGATATGGTATTAGAGTCTTGATGGTCACATGATCGCAAGTTTGAATCTCGTTACTTTCATTTATCTTCTAATTAATTAAGCATAAGATAATTTGTTGAAATCCAAAAGAATTTAAAATCGAAAGGTGTTTTAAAAAATAATATAAATTATTGTTGTAACCTAATATAAATTGAATCCAAAAGAACGGAAGAGAAAGAGAAAGATGTGGAGATTTTTTAAAGAATTATGGAATAAATAATTGTATATACAATGTTAATGCCAAAATCAACATTCACTTGATGAAGAAAAAAGAGCATCAACTTGCCTGCTAGCTAGCTAGCCTTGCTTGTCCATGAATCTCTTAGCTTTCGCGTAAGCCTCCTTTAAGTATCTCCGAAACCTAACCGTATCAAGCTTGACATTTTGGGTCTTCATGTATACCTTTGCTTTTGTCCAATTTCCGTTAACAAAAGCTGAAGGATTCTTCAGCACCAAGTCACTAGCTCCATACTTTTCTGCCAAGCTACTTTCATTAACTTCAATCTTATATTTCATGTACTCTAATCCCAAAACTCTAGCCGGCTTCTCATAAAATGTCTTAGCAAGCCAATCTGTCCCAATTGGCACTATTTCACCCAACACCATTCCAACTCTTAGAAACAATAAATGCGTCATTGCAGCACCATGTACTGCTAACATTGCATGGCTTCCATGGAGTATCCTATACGTGTCACGCACAGAACCATTTCGTTTTGGCTCAAACACAATTGCTTTAAATCCAACCTTTTCAATTTCCTCGAGAACTCGTTTTAAATTCAAGATCTCACGACCAACACCATTTTTTCTGTTCACCAAAACAAGCTGTGGCCTAGCACCCTTTGATTTATCAAACCATGGAACATATTTCCCTCGGGGACTATATGTCTTTTCTAGGAGAGCATGGAAATCAAGGAGTGTTTTGTGCTGGGGTAGCAATGTGGGATTCACGACTAAGGGACCGTGCGTCATGAGCCCTATGATTGCTGATGGGAAGCAATGTGTCCTGGTCTGGTTGTCCATGTTGATGATGGGGTGCTTGGTAAATTGACGCAGTAGATCACCATATTTTTGGGCCCACCATTCACTCCAATTGGTGACCACTAGGATGACATCTCGATTTAGAGAGAGAGAGTTGATGGTGATGTAGAGAGCAAGGAACCCATCGTTGAACTGATGGTAGAAGTTTCCTGTATACCCGCCCGTGCTGAATACTATGGCTGGACTAGAATGTGTGATTCCACAAGAGGATTTTGGTGGAGCTGAGGTGAGTGTTAGTTCGTTGACCTTGGACTTGGCATTTTGATCCGTCTTCCGAGGGTAAGGACGAAATTTTACTGCAAAGTCTGGTGGGGTCGAGTTTGTGGGGCCCCTTGTGAAGAATGTTGAAGTGATTGGATCCAAGAGCGTTGGGCCGTTGATGGACCACAGATCATAGTCTCTGTGAGAGCAATCGCATGTGATTGCTCTTTTGACCTCTGAATGGAGAGGCGAGCGTGCTCGCCTGTCTTCCCTTGTCTTGCTTACAATACCTGTAAACAGATAAACAAGGCATGTGTTTTTTGAATATGCGTTGACATTTGTGCTAATTAATTAGTATTCTATTACACGCATTTTCTTCTCTTTTTTTCTTTTCCTGCTATATAAATTGCAAAACCTATTTGATCCCAGTTGGATATTTCGAATAACGGATGAATTAACCAAGGGAATGAAAGTGAAGTAAGTTGCTAAATTAATTATAATTATAACCGGAGTATAAGTTTTATCCAAGACTTATTTCTGTAAATTTTCTGATAACTTTAGTGTTGACCTAATTTTATTAAATACATATGATACATTGACAGGGAAAAGAACTGATCGTTTTGGTTTAAAGATGACTATATTGATTTAGTTATGAAAACTGAATTGAATTAGCTAAAAAAATCAAACGAACCGAATTTGCATTGGATCTCAAAGTATGCAGTTTGAATTCATTTGTTTATAAATAAATAAATCGTTTTGAAAGCTCCTTCAGCCCATTTATATATGAAATTAAATGCATGATAAATTGATTTTTGAAAAATTCAATATGTTGTACAAAATCAAAACAAACCGAAATAAATGAACTATTTATTTTTCTTTTTTAAAACGAACTAAACCAATTTAATCGAATTGAATATATATGCCAAATCAAATAAGTTGGGTTTAGAAATTCAATGCTTGACTAATTCTAACATATACCTGAATGTGTAGGTGAATGTGCTGCTGGCTTTTCTTTTCGATTCTCGCTTACAGGGCCTGTGAAAAAAATACTTCGAAATCGGCACAAGTTTGTACTCGCATTCTAATTTGACTCACACGTATTTGCATTCCCTTTTTTCTACTATATTAACCATCTGATACCACTTATTGGATTATTAGGGGAAAAAAAACGAACCCAATTTGTTGAATCACATTGGTTAGGTTTCTCGAAAATTTAATAAAATTGAAATATACTTTTCGAAAGACAAACGAATTGAATACACCTAATCAAATAAGTTCAGTTCAGAAATTCAATTTGGACCGAATTCTACTCACTATGGCATATTAATATAATAAAATAAGTCCATCTGATAATTCCCTTACAAAATTTGTGGCGATTTTATATTTACAGATTCAAGGTCCTGTAGCTTCCTGGAACATTGAAATTCTATTTTCATGAAGATTGTAGATGCATGGCAACATGGGTCTGAAATGCTAACGAAGTATATGAAATCTTCATAAGCAATACAAAACTATAACAGATGAAAACAAGAAACGACTGCGTTAACACATCCACATACATATGAAAACTAGACAAATGGAAAAGAAAATGGTTCCAAACTGAGTTGACGAAGTATTGCAAAAGGTCAACTATATTTAACCTGGCCAGCGTGGTACTTGAATTTTGAGTTTGTAATTGAGACAAAAATCATGACACTTACGCGACGCATATAGTCATGAACAATTATTGTTGATTATTAATTGAAGGATTGAGTAACTCGTACCTGGTTTACTCTTGGATATTGAAGAAGCCACAAATACTTTTGATCTTGAAAGCAATGAAATATTTATTTGGGAAGTGAAGAAGAATACCATCAACACGAGGAACAGAATTGCAGTTTTAGAAAATCCCTTCTTCAACATGGTTCTGTTGTGTGGATGGAGCTCAACCTACACAGGAAGGCTGTAGTTTAATGCGAGAGAGAGAGAAAGGGGTGGAGAGCTTTGTCAAGAAGATGATCGGTTGTTATAATTAACATGCTGTCTGGTCTAAAACCCAAATGGAGGTCCTGACAAGATGTGAAAACAATTTGGGTGCCAATGATAGGAAATTTGGAATATGACAGGGAGGTATATTCATTGAGTTATGAGAGAAACTACCTACCAAATCGATTTTTTATTGGTTTGTGTGTATAATATATCTAACACGGACCTATTTTATATATTGATCCTGAAGCTACTCATTAATGTCTCCCGTTGAATTATTCTCCGAGGGAATAAAGAAGTAAATAAATGCGAAATATGGAAAAGAAAAACAAATTAATAATAACTTGTGGAGTTTGGACAGCTGCGTCACCAAATGGACATAGTCTTATACCATAGTCTTGTCGTTAACAGGAGATGGAATTTATTTGGTAACTGTGGGTGGGCCAGTTTTCACGTCCCAGAAATTAGTCATGCCAAAAAATTCAACCACCTTCATCATTATTATGATTATACCATAAAAACTTATTGAACGAAAAATGGACAGGAGGTATCCCCGCTCCTCTTTTCTTTTTTTTTCTTTTTTCGAATCAATTTATATGCATCTCGACTAATCTCACAAATCTTAAAATTAACGATCATGTAAATTTTCAATAACCATAAAAGAAAAATAATTAAGACTCAACCCCGGGATCGCAACAGAGTAAAACCCTTGATTCTAATTTCTTGCAGCTGCGCCATCACAGGAGGACAAAACTCCGCTCCCCTTCTTTGATGAGATGAGAGTTGGCTAGTGACTCTACGTTTATAAAGAAAAGATGTGGGTCTTATCGTGCTAACTTTAGCCACTCAGGTGGCACCGTCGGATATATACTGCTAACTTATGTGTTGTTTTGGCCTCAGTTGAGTATCATTATATGGCCTGGAAGACTTTTTTTAATATTTTCTCTGAAGGTTTATTTGATGCTAATGATTCCAAGTGGATGACGTGTGAAATTTGTACAAATTTCACTTTCACCAGGTTATTTGATCTGTGATTTTTTAACTTTTTTAGAGACAAAATTATTTGAGACTTTCTTTTAAAAAAAAAGTATTTAGAAAATGATTTAAGAACCGTTATTTTACTGAGTAAATTATAAATTAGTCCCTCCGATTTCAATAAAAGAATTGATTAGTTCTTTTTGTTTTAAAAACAAGTATGTAGTTCTTTAACCAGTTTTAATATTATTTTTATTTTATAAAAATTTTTTACTTTCTAATATCTATCCGTAATTTTTTATTTTTTTAGATTTTTATTTTTTAAAATCAAAAATCAAAATAAATTGAAAAAAGAGCCAAAACAAAAACTAAGTTATGAATAAATTATAAAAACATGAGGACTAAATGATTAATTTTTTAAATTAGAGGAACTAATTAATTCTTTTTTTCAAAACAAGAAGGACTAACTTACAATTTACTCTTGTTTTACTAGTCCTATATCTTTGTGCAGCGGGAATGATTTAATTATTTGCATATGATCATTTTTATCTAGTAATTTGACTATATAAAATTTGTCAATATATCAATAGTTTGTATCATAATGTAGCTTATGGGTTTTCATAATCTAGTTTATATATGATTGCATTTTCTTTTTTTATTTCAACATGGTATCCAATATTTAATTTTTTTATACTGGTAAAAAAATTATATCTTAAAAGTAAAATCAAAAGGTAATATAAATTTTCAAAAAATATATAATCGATGCATACTCAAATCAAAAAAAAAATAATTGCTCTTATTTTTACTAGAAATACTAAATTGCATCACTTGATTTCATAAATTTTAGTAAGCGGTGGCTTACTTAAAAAATATCATTTGGACAAACTTCACATATTTTTTTTCCATCTAAAATTTTAGAGATTTTTCATGATTATTGTGATATACCATGTATCATCACATGTCATATCTCTTTTATTTTATTTGATTGTTTTTTATTAGAAATATTTAAAAAAAAATCAAATTACATGATTATTAGTTAAACCAAAACCAAAATCAAAATCTCAAATTCAAGACATCTAGGGCGCCACGCTCATTGAATAAATCAGATGACTGTAAGAAGTCGCCGTAACATTTTTTCCATCGGTCAACCACGGTAATCCGATCGTCATAGATCTCACGAGACAGATCGCCATGTAAAACCCAAATCGCAAAATCAATCACAGTAACAGGAAAATGCTGCATCATAACTGCCACCTGCACAACCTATGTTGCAAATTTATATCATGGTCACAGCAATTACGAGATAGATTTTTCTTTTAACAGGAGAATTCTTTGTTGTCGATGCAAGAAACAAAATAAAAAAGAGAACGATGATGTCGGAGGATTTGATCTGATGGCGGTCTTGAAGTTGCCATTTCTTTCATGTTAATTTGTCTTGATCTACAGATCGATGAGGAAGGTCAAAGAAGGGGATGAGTCAAGATGACTATTATTTTTTAGTGCTTCTTGAGCCGATTGTGACTAGTAAAAAAATTATTAAATATGTTAAAAGTTGCAGTGCTAAATATAAAAGAGAAAGAAATTAATGAGGTTTTGTGATTAGCGAGTCTTGTTTTTGTTAAGTATATAATATGGATTTAATGGTAAAAATTGTCTTCATTTTATTATAATTTGATAATTTCAAGTTTTTAATATCAATTTCTATAACTTGAACCTCAAAATATCATATTTTTTTAACAAATCTTATCCAAATCAGTTACTTAGGTTTACGATTTTTATTTATTTTTTTGGCTGTTTCTTTATATTAATTTAAAAAAGGTTAAAAATATTTTTTCTCTATTTTTTAAGAGATTCTTTTTATTTAAAATTTTCACATATCGAGTGTTTTTGATTTTTCATAGTCAATCAATTGTTATTTGTATATAATTTTTTTCAATTTTAAAAAATAACTTTTATGCAATATCATTATCCAATCCATTAAAACAATCAACTTTTATAGTTAATAAAATACATATATCTATTAGTTGAATTTGATCAATTAAAATTATCAAATAATTAATTTTAATTGTAACTTTTTTTTGTTGTCATACCAATAAATTTATTCTTGTGATTGTTAATCATTAAATTTTAAGTATAACTATATTTATTTAATATTTTTTATCTTCATATTTTTATATGATTTTTTTCACAGTTTATTCAATATATAATATGCTTTTAAAATTTTTGGAGTTAGAAAATCATTTTTAAAAAACTTTTTAATTTTATTTCTGTTTTAGTTTTTTTTAAGATAGGTTAAAAAATGAAAGCTCTTTTTTAGGAAAAAAAATTAGTGATAAATTTAATAAAATTTTTATTTACTTATAGATAAATGGATGGAAAAAAACCTCTCTTCAAAATTAAGAGAAAAACTTTTTTAACGTTTTTTTTTAAATTAACATAAAAAAATAATGAAAACAATAATAGTCAACTAATTATGTTGATCTTTATAATTAATGGATTTGAATAAAATTTATCCAAAAATTGATATTTTAAAATTCTAATTATACAAATTAAAAATAAAAAAATTAAAATTACTAAATTGCAATATAAAACAAGACAAATTAGGTATTTAATAAAAAAAAATAAGTTAAGGCTGTGCCAATAGGCACTAGGGATCTACTAATACCCTTTCCAAATTTTTATTTTTTATTTTTCGCATCGTTTACGACAAGGAAGCTGGAATTCTTTTCTGGTGGCTAGAGGTGTATCGTAGTTTAAGGTGGGATAAATGATTCCTTGCTGTCAAGCGTCAGCCACCAAAAACCACGGGAAACATTTGAAACGTTCGTAATAGAACACTTGTGCGGGGACCACTGGCCTTGGCTATTTCTCCTACCGTTAAATGGGTACGTTCGCAGCTGATTTCTACAACTGAGGAGGGTCGTAGATTGAGTGGGTCCCATGGCCCAACATATGTTTCCAGTTCAGTTGCAATGATTTTTTGTTTCTGAAAAAAGAAAACAAAAAGGAAATTGACTGGACAGTGGTCCCAGATAGCTGTTGACGTGTAACCGTCCTAAGGTACAAGGTTTTTGTACTTAAAATATTTCCGCTGATGTCAAAATGACTACCACATCCAACTCTATTATTGCTAAGTGCCAACCTGTTACCACATGCCTGGGTACAGCTGTCGACCTTTCGTTATATAACTTACTTCTGCCACTCACTATAAACCAAAACACCTTTTGGATTTTCTGATACATTTCTGTAGATAAACTGATATCATCATTCCATGGTCTCCATTGTAACCGAAAGCCGCTTTCTCAATCAAGTGTCTTCTTTTTCTTTTTTTCTTTTTCTGACAACCAATCAGGAAAGAATCCTTCCAGTAAACTATTGATTTTTATCAGCTGTACACTACAAATTAAAATTATTTTAAAAAAATTATTTTAGTTTAATATTTTATATTATATTATATATCGATCAAAATATATTAAATCGAAATTAAATAAAATTTTATTTAATTTTTTAATTTTTTAATCAAAATTTTATATTTTACTAATTATTCTTTATGTTTTCTTAAATTTTTGATAAAAAATATTAATTATTTATCTCTATCCACATTTTTAATTAAAAAATTATAATAATATAAAAAAATGATAAAATCAATGGATTCTTATCTAAAAATGTATTTTATAATTTTTTTCTAAACATCTTTTTATCTTAAAATCTTTAATTAAAAAATTAGAGAAAAAAGTAAGGATCAAAGTGACTATAATGAAACAAAAAAGAATGACCAAAATAAAACCAAAAAAAATTCACAGATCGAAAAAAATTTTTAAAAAGAATTAAAGTGTAATATTATAAAAATTTTTATAATAAATGCCTTTAAAAAGTTTAAAAAATACAAAAAAAAATATTGTATAGTGAAAGAAATAGTGCATGTAAGTATATGTTAATAATGCATATGATTCTGAATTAAT